CGATTTGGATTTGAAAATTATTAGAAGAAAATGGATGTTATTAGTTGAATCCCACCCGGATTGGTGTTGACAATCAGAGTGCTATCAAATTAGCCAATAATCCTGTTTTTCATGATAGGACTAAGCATTTTGAAGTCGACTGGCACTTCTGTCGAAAGGTAAAATCAAGTGATATTTCTGTGAAATATATAACCACCTAAGATCAGCCTGCAGACATGCTTACAAAAGCCTTGAGTAGGAGAAAGTTCGAAGCAGGGAGGAGCAGACTGAGTTTTCACACTCCTGCAGAGCTCTCTGATTCTTCTGTAATCTGCAAGCACTAGAGTAAGAGGGAGTGTTGGACGTATACTCTCCTGCTCACCATATGTAGATAAGGTTTAGGGTTTTAGACTGGTTGCTTCGAGTATATATACAGTGTGTTACGACTCGTCTATCAAGTTTTCTATCTTCGAACACAGTGAGTACTATGTTGTTCTACGGTTTATCAATTCCCTCTTCGATCAACTGTTTAAAGAGTTTTGTCACGGGTAAGAATTGAGCACTACGTAAATGAGAAAGATAAATATGTAATCTAGCAGCAGGTCCTCGATTTGGTGTAATCAACTCGCTAAGCGAATGCAGCATGTCACACGCTTTTATGTAGAAACTAGGTGCATCAACATCTCCTTAGGCCCTTGTGTGACATGAAGTGAAAACTCTAGAACGGCGTCAGAGGTCTCGTATTTTCAAGAAAAACGAGGAAACTCAAGGGTTTCCACTTCTGAACAAGAATGATTGTGTGATTCTCAGTAGAAGAGCTCGAATTGAATCGGGAGGGAGAACTATGGGCATAATGGTTAGTCATTCTAGAGATCTACTGTGTAAGCAGATTTTGGTACTATCAGATGAGATTGATCTTAACTAGGAATATGCAGAACGCTTCTCAATCTTCGAGACCACGGATGGAATCAAGTGTGTACCGACGAGTGTCTTAGCAATTAATCATCTGGAGCCATCCTCATCGAATTAAGGTTCGAACTCGATCATGAGGAAAGATCTACTGATATCATTTAATCATATGCCGTTAAGATGTACGACACTGCTGTACATATGGCTGGAATCCAGAACCTCTAAAAGCAACGAGGACGTGGATAGATCAACGCTCCTCTCCAGAGAGGTTCAAGATAATCACTAGAAGTTTAGTCAGAATGATGTTCACAATAAATTCTAAAATTATTTCATGATTGATCAAACCAATCGGTAGAGCCAACTTCAGATTTTTCCTCTAAATTGTTGCAGTTATTGATCGATTGCATGATAGGTTGGACTCATTCAAGAAAGACATTGAAACTTGAAACTTAACCATGAATATATATCATTTGCAAGGGACCTTCTATATGACGGTCAAATTACAGGTTTAATCCATGACTATGCTCTATATCGGAATGATTTAAACTGGTGTTAACTTGTTAAGGACCTCCTATGAACTGGAAGAATACCGCTGATGTCTGTTGTTTTTAAGATCGGTGTTACACGAACATTTGACCTACCATGGAGTGCAGGAGCATTAATAACCTAGAGACTACTAGCTTTGCCACTGTAAAATTCCTCCAAGGTGTAGCCATTGTAGAGCTCGAAGATGAAAATGTCGAGGAAACCAAAACCACTCGATCGATATTGCATTGAACTCTAAAGATTATCTAATATTACTGAATGTCGTGATGTAAGGAAAGTCTAAATCTTTTGCGAATATAACCAGTGGATGTAGTTGACAAAACTTCGACTGGATCTCGAGCAATAGGTCTGCCACTGGGGTACGTTGTACAAGATACGGAACGTTCGGCAATTTCCGAAAGCCAACAACCTAGTTCAATGTTTGGAATACTTGTGCTTCCAAAAATTGTTTTCTGGCTACACTCAACTTGACGTTTGATTATAGAACGTGGTAGAAGGGATGTGCTGATGAGATGCTACTTGTCAACAAACCAAAAGCAGGAGAGAAAAGTGAGTTCACGATATTTTTGTTCATAGATTCAGATCTGCTACAGAAATCAATGTCATAAGTTACAATTGAAGTTCATTCTTCCTTCAACACATGCTCCCAACAGCTCAATAGCTCCGAGTTCTTTGCGTAGTCATTAATCAGTTTATCTGGATGTGAAGTGATGAGATCTGCATGCTGGATGCTTCTAGAATCAGATACTCCGACTCTTCGAATAGACTGGTTCGAAGTTACCTGACATAGCTTCAAAAACAGATCATATCCTTCCCCTGTCATTGCCAGTAAACCTCATATTCTATATTCAGTATGATGTAAAGAACTGTGTTTGAATATAGGTTGGTTTACTGACTTCAAGGAAATTTGTGTAGATTAGTGGTTATCGCATGGTAGAAATTCGTCCCTCATTGAAATTACATTGTATCTTGAGTGTACTACTTCGCAACGGGAAGTAGAAGATCAATTGTCATCATATCTGGACAAAACTTCGGATACAAAAGCATGTTACTGCTGCTGAGAAAGAAGTTGAATCTTGTGGAATTACAAAGTTGAAATTTCAGCTCTACAATTATATTCGTAAGTTCTTTATAATTAACGAAGTTGAGTAATCATAAGTATTAACAATAAAAGTTGAAAAAATGTATAAAAGTTGAGTGCATTTTAGTATCTTTAATTACAAATATAGCAAATTACAAGAATTCAATACTAAAAAATATATTTCAGATGTAAAATTAAGAATAAAGTTTTCAAGTAAATTTTCTATCAAAATATGTATGATTTAGTTTTTCATTCAAAATCTTTTATATATATTTTGGTGTACATAGTGTGGAAAAATAAAATAAATTATGTTGTATTTGGAAAAAATTATCTTTAAAAAAATTCCCAAAAATTTTCATTAATAATAAATCATCCATAAGAGTATTAAATTTATTTTTCAGGAGATAATTCAAATCTGATATAAATCAAGATAAATTAAATTTGAATTGAATGGAAAACACGTATAATTAGTCTAGTTATAAATTAATTATAAATTTCGAATATCAATTATATATGAGATAATCAGACATAACTACTCTTCATTAATTGAACGAAAACTTCATTTTTCTTTTATATGGTATGTAGATTCTCTTGTCTCTTTTAACAATTAGTATGAGAGCGACCTCCTTCCTAGTGACGAAAAAAATTAGTTTCAGAGTTGACGATGCACTCCCTTCTTCCTAGTAACCACAGAACAATTAGTATCACGGCGGGCACGATGGTTTGACGATGCACTCCGGCGTGCATTGGAATAAATCTTGACATTTCCGACGACTGTGCTGCATTCTCTAACGGGGTCGAATAACATGACATGGTCGCACTTGTAGGGCTGGTGAAGGTTCACGAGCTAACAGAGGAGTCCTTTCGGAGGGCCGTCCATCAGAGATATCCGTGGCAGTCTGAACGCTGTCTGCAGTGGCCCCATTGTCCGCATCAGCAGTAACTGGTTGTGCAGGCATCGCTACTGGGACGGCAGCAGGAGCACCACTACCGGCAACATCAAGAGAACTCGAAGCTCTGACCTTGGGGAGACGATCTCTTACATCTAGAAGAAACAGTTGATACTCGTTTCCAAAAAGATCGAAATCCACTTGGTAGGCAGAAAGAGCATCGATGGATGACCTTTCCATGACATTTCCATGTCTCTAGAGGACAATGATCTGGTCTTCATTGCAGTTGGAATGGGAATCGACACAAGGTCTGACGTATGACATGTAGTTGCACGACTAGCAAAGATCATGGTTGCTTTGATCATCGTAATAGAATCATTTGGGCTTGAGGGTTTGCGATGCACCAAGCAGGCCCGAGAGTACCTTGTAGCTATAAAACATGCAGCTGACACAGTTGTCGTTGTTCCTAATGATCGCCTTCTGGATAGTGTGTGACACATCTGTATTGTATGCATTCCATTCAGCTTGATGTTCTTAGGTCAATGAGTACAAGGAATTTATGACATTATCATAGTTCCAGGCTTGGTATATGTAAACTTTGCCGATGTTTGAGCATGCTGGAAATCGGAAATGCATATCAAAAAATACAACTATTGATGTATATTCACTTCATTAGGAGATCTTGCATTCTCTAGCACGTGTTGATGAGTAGAGATTACAGGAGGACTCAACCTGACACCATTTAGTTGAGCTGCAAAAGATTGTGTCAATGACTGATGGAATGAATACATGGGAAGACGTGATGAAGTTGGATAATTCTCTATGATCACGAGGTGAAAGCAAGTGATCTTCTTAAAGTTACGGTAACTTGAAAAGAAAGGTTAAACATGTTTACGTTCTATGGTATCCGTAATCTCTTGGATAAATTTCTTCGTTTCATCAATTTATTTCAAAAATTTCAAGTATGGTATATGCGTCGGATCTTGAAGTAGATATAGGTCTAGGGATAAATCCTTAGAGAAAAAGACAGTGATATATTGGAAGTGTGACGACAGTGTTCACATCAAGGAAAATTTCGGCGTGAAAATCCAATATCCTGATACTTCTATAGCCAATGTAGTTCAAAAGTTTACTTCAAAGGAGTATGACTCAAAGTGTCTGAGCATCATAGTTAATATATACCACACTTCTCAAGAATAATTTAAATATGTACATATTGACATGGATAAAGACTCTCCTAAAACCTCACTCTTTGAGAAGTTTTCCCATGGATTATATATTGATAATTATTCAAAGTTTGCGTGTGATTATTTTTTCAAACACAAGTCTCAAAAATTTATAACCTTTAAGTCTTGGAAATTACAAATCGAGATTTAGACTAAACACATCCTCAAAAACTTCCCCAGACCAAGCGTAAACCCTCTATATGTCCCTGGGTTTGCACTCAAGGCTGAGAATGGAAAATCGTCAAAACTCAACATACACGACGACGAGAAGCGACATATCTTCAAATTCATAGGACATGTGATGGCGAAAATGTACCGAGTGATCTCTCAGCGAAGTACTCTCTCATGTGAGAAAATAAAGAATCCATGAGCATGTTCAACGATTTCACGTACGAACACGTGAAACTTTCTTTCAACGATTCTGTCCAATGAGGATAATATAAAAATAATGGTTACTACAGCTGTTTCTCATTTTCGACATAATTCCCGCTTTTGGGATTTAGCTCAAATCCATATTGTACAAAGTTGGCAGCCAGCTGGGTAATTTTTGAAAGATAACTCCCGAAAAGTCCTGTGAATGGAAAAGATTGGTTGAATTTCGTCTCCTAACCTAAAAGAAGAAGGAACCGAGCTTTCCATTCAGGAAATTTTTTCTGATGCCAAAATAGAAGAATACGAAGGCTCGACGATATGCACTCACATCTACTTCAAGAGCTAATATTCTGCTCTTCACGAACTTGGAGCTTGTTTGGTATCAACGTTCAACCAGCTGGCAAGTCCTCGCCCTCCTTTCATGCTTTTCTCAAGATCTTCTAACCTCCTCATCAAATCCGTAACCTCCGACCTTAAACCCTGAAACAACACCGGTTATATGCTGGTGAGTTCCAGCACCAAGCTTACGAAAATGTACCAAAAACGATGAAATGGTCTTCAACGCTCAGTTGCAAGCACGTTTCCAATTCAGTTTGAGATACAAAAAGTGTTGAAGAATAAGCCAAATAGAGTCAATGAAAATTTTGTATATATCGTCATTGCCTACTCTTTTGTGGCACTGATGCTCGCTCGAAAGAGTTAGTGGACATTAATGTAGAAGTAAGAGTACAAAAGCTCACCTCGACTTCTTGTTTTCGAGCTTCCTCTTTGCGAGCTTCAGACCTCGCACTACGTTGTACTTCAAATACTAATAGACCACCTCCAATCTGCCAAATGACTCAAACTGTTACATATACAACAGATATGGCTTTCTCAACCGATACAACCATGGATGGATCTTGATTCTCTTTCTAAAAACTACCACAACTGAATGAATGACATAAACGCTGTCAGATAACTGCCAAAAGACTTTACGGAAGTAGTGTAACTAAAGATATTCAATGAGACAGAAAATGAAACCAACATGCAACGCTTGTTGGTGCTTATCAAAGTGTTCTTCGTAAAACAGCCAGCTTACCGAAAATACCACGAATTCTCCGAGAAAGTCCGAGGCAGCTTGTACTGCCTTCTCCTCGTCAAGGGGCCTAATCTCGACGTTAGTAGCATGCCCATAGATGCGCCTTTGCAGATTCACTTGAAATTTATGATTGGCCTGAAGATCGCACGTTGAACAACAGTTAATTTCCGAACTGGGCTCCATACATGTTAGCATCTCCTCTTCGTGTCGGAGCATATCTTCAAATAAACGAAGAAAGTGGAGCCTTTCATCCAATTATGAGTAATTCTCAATGATTGACGGCATGCACAGAATTGTGTCATGTAGAGAGATATAGACTAAACAATAGATCGCTTGAATCTGCTCTCATCGTGACGACTAGGTAAATAATGGCAACACGAGAAGAAAAAGAGCCAGTATGGCTATCTCCTCCTTTCCACCCAAAAAACGCGACGACTTTCTTTTCCTTACACGGCTGTTCGGCAGTTTCGCTACACTCCAGGCGAGCGTGGGATAACAGTGAGGTGCACTGAGATTAAAAGGAGGAGAATGGAATTCAAAGTTTACAAACTCCCCCGACATAAGATGATTGAATTTTGGAGGACAACCAGACAACAGTCATGGAGGTTTCGAATATAAAACAGGTTTCCGCGATTGAAGACGAAGCACAGAAAGCGCGGAAAGATCTTCTACCCATTGAATACATAACTGCAAACAGCAAGTGCAGTACACGTACCTGGGCAAAGTTGATTATTGACTGACGGAATCGAGGATGCCGAGTTGCTTGCGTTTTCAGTCGACTCGCCAGGGGCTTGCTCAGAGTTTTAAGAACAAAAGTGCCTAACTTGGCAACCGGTAATATCATACTGTCAAGCTCACGGCGTCGGATTTAGACTCGGGGGTGCAGGGGATTAGCGAACGAAACGAAGATCGCAGCAACGCAGCCTAACGAATCGTGATCGTCAGACACCCGCTAACTGTCCGGGTTCTTCCCTCGCAAGTGATGCCGTCGATGAAATCAGCGCTGATCATAGATCAAAATACAAAACCCATTCTGACTGACCTACCACCGAGAGCCACCGTCCACTCCTCGCTTCCCTTCACAAATTGCGATCGCCTCAGAATTTTAAATCGATGCAATCCCCACAAACTCCACACGCACCGCCCAAATGTGCATCAACACGCTTCCTGTTCACCCGATCCACGCCAACCTGGAAATAACGACTAAACCCCCATCGAAACTAAACCTAAGCAAACCACCAACGAGCCAAAATGCTCGTCAATGCATCGAAATGTAGACGGATGAAAGCGAGAGGGAGAGAGGACTGCAGCAGTGCCTCGAAGACCAGCCCGTTCCTGTCAAATCTGGATCGGATGCGCAGAAGATTCTCGCCCGGGTGCGCTGCAAAGACCGATTCATCGACGAGCGACAGAGTCTGTCACACTCGTGCCCAGGAATCTTCCAGCCTACGGAAAGGATGGAACCGGGAGAGGAAGCTTGACCCCCACCCACGATTCGGGCTCGAGGGCTGGCCGGGCCTGGCCATTTCGACCCCATTCTTGCGGACCACGGACGACGAGAAGGGGACGATGCTCGCTCGCTTCCAGAAGGAAGCTTCGTGATTCGTGAGTCGTAGCCTCACGGCGCCGTCGACCATGGTCGCCCGCCGTCGGCGTCTCGAAGACTCGATCTCGGGTCGTGTTGCAGACGACGAAATGCATCCGGCGAATTTCGACTGTCCGGTAACTCCGAGGCTTCTGACGATCCTTTGGACTCTGGACGGGGTCCTTGCGACTGTGATCCATTTCGTCATATGTTACCGCTTATTCATGCAACTGTGCAGTAAACTATGGTTTTTGTACATGGCACAAACGTGGTTTCTACTACTGTACTGTCAAAATAGATGTAATCACCTTGATTGTTGCACGTGTTCTCTATACTATGCTAAAGCGCATGTCATCAGCAGAGATAGAGCAGAACATCGTTTAATCACATAATTGTTCTCTGGCAAGAACTTATTTAACTAGTTTTTTATAATATATCTATATAATTATTTACACCTGAAATCAATTTTTGTATTTAAACTTAATAAAATCAGAGAATTATCTGGTGACTTACAGCAATACCATGTAGTTGAGTAAAAAAAAATTTGTGATGTTGGTTAGAATATAAGGAAACGTTGGCTTATAATCATTGTATATTTAGGACTGGAACTATTGACAGTACACATGTTTCTCACCTTTTTTTACTTTTATACTATTAAATATGGACTTTAACCTCTACTCATATACTAAAGACCATGCATATGGGGAATAGCTCAATGGCTTTTTGTATGATATCTAAATGGTATTTAGAATTAGAGAAAGGAAAGTATTCATTGAATGATTTAACCATGTTCCCTGCAACCAATAATTGTTTCCTCAAAAATTAAGTATTTTTTTGAGACCACACTTCCTAGAAAAATAGACTAATGTCTATTTTCTTCCTAGCTCCACTGTCTTATTTTCAAGAAAAGAATCTGAAATATAGTTGCAATTTTTGTTTTATTTTGAATGAAGAGTATTTTGATCACCTTTAATTGTAAAAGTTCTGAACTTTTTTAGTGATAATAAGTAGGTAAGCGCACTCTTAAATTCATCTTTTCCCACACTAAAACATGACTGAAGGAGGATGTAAGCATGAAATGGGTGAGTATAAAGACTATATATATTTTTGTGCACATTAGAATAATAATCGAATATACAAACCAAGCGCTTGCGGCCCACTACTAGAGACAATTATGTGAGCTAAGTGCAACTTCTCCTTTTCTTTATTCATTCACCACAATACAGTAGTATCGGGCCAGCTTTCATACGTTCAAGATTATATCATGTCTCTAAGTTGATCTTTGTCTAGTGTATTTACAGAAACTACACTAGTTCACAATTCCATGTATTCGAATATGATAGTAGCACATGCCATAGTAAAACTTTTCCTCCAGCTCAAACAATCGAGCGGCTCTTAGGAACAAACCCTAAGATTTCGAACTAGTCATGTCACGTGTCACATGTGTAGGCGACATAATTCTTGTATGATAAATCAGTTGTCCATGGTAAAGTTAAAATATAATAGCATGAAGATTCTGCTACTAGTTTGTTTATCTTTAAGTGAGATTAGAGAGTTGGGTAGTAAGAATCCTTGGATTACCACAATCCTTAGCCTTTGTAGTTTGAAATCTAATCCTTCGGTTTTAAGCCTTTGTAGTTTGAAATCTAATCCTTCGGTTTTAAGTCTAGTTTCAACTGTAAATTCATTTTTGAACACTAAAGGATAAGTGTTAGGATTAGTTAAAGACCGAGTGCACAAAGCTAAAGCTCGGTATAGGATATTTGTCGAACAACCTTCCTCCTCTGTCGTTCGGATAGACGTGGTGTTTAAGTACAAAGATCTGATACAGTTCAAGAGTATAAAACCCACTATCTCAAGGAGCTCATCATGAAGTTGTATGCTCGGTGTATTGTACTATCCAAAAATCAGGCTAGAATGGCAAAGACTACGATTTCTCAAGAGTTGTCAAATAACATCGAGACAAATCATCCTGTTTCCCATGTGTGTAATTGCAAACTTGACCTGATGAATAACAAGTAGGATAACTTATTGGTAACATGCTACTCAGGTTTTACCAGACCCAGATGAATGTTGTATGTAAGAATTCTTGGATAATATGTTAGTTAGATTTGCATTTGGCATCTTTGGGCACACATATTTGTTGGAGTTATAGTCATACCATGAGTACGGTTCCACAACTTGAAAGCGTTTAGCTTCCTTGCAACTTAGAAGCAATTTCACCACTTCGAGGCTTTGGTGACACTTTGCTTTGTGCGGCAAAATTTTTGAAAACTTGAGCAATTGAAGAACAATATATTCGGGACGAACAGGGTTCAACCCCTACCCCAAATCACAGAGCTTGATGAAATTCAAATAATCGGTTTTTTATTCAGAAGGTCTGTGGTCTCCCTAACTTCTACTAGTGTGCGGACAAAATATTATATTGTGTTATTATTGATTTCTTTTTGTTAAAGCGTCTCCTAGATACAAAGGACACTCTAACGTGCCTGTGCTCAATCTGACACGGGAAGAAACAGAAATGTTTCTTCCTGTGTCAGATTTCTGTCTAGACTGCAATCTACTATGATTCAATACAATCTAGGGAATTGTTAAATACACCACACACACCTGGTTGTCGCACATCTACTTATCACGAATACACAATGGATTTCGGAATGTGTCACTCATGTTGTCTCTTCATGGGGCACCACCTCCACAGATCAAAGTTGAGGGTTCTATATGTGGAGGGATTAAGAGTAAAACTCACACAACTGGATAATAGAAGTTGTGTATGAAACATTCAAAACTGAAGAGAAAAGTAGCCAATCATATGGGAAACATTAGGCCATGTCTTCAATTTTCATTGAGATTTAATTGTTAGAGAGTTGTGACGAATAAAATAGGTGTGTGGTGTATTTAGTAAAAAATGTGGTGTATTTAACAATTCCCTACAATCTATCTATAGTTCATTGCGTAAATGTCAGGAGTACATTGTGACATATGACCGTATGTCACAATTACATCAACTTGAGTCGGACCAAGATATCTCCCAACAAGTGCTTGTGATCCCGATGATATGGAATTAAGCAAAACAGAGCTTGTAAGGTTTGTTTTTTGAGATAAGGTTTGTTTCTTGTTACTGTTTCTATTACATAGATAATGTTCTTGGTGATGATTATGTAATCTCGCTATTTCTTTGAAGATCATGATGGTGTGATTTTGTGTAGTTGGGGAGGATATCACGAATTACATGTTTGAACCCACCTCCAATTAATATTGGGTGGGCCACTCATGTCTTACGTACATGGGGCATTACACACATCGTTGGACTAAATTACCTTTACTAGATTACAAACATCATTGTGGTGTGGCTTCACATGCAGATGGTCACATATAGAGAGGAGAAGGGGGGAAAGTTAGAAGGGGAGGAAAGGGAGGAAGAGAGAGGTAGGACCCATAATGACACAACAAGGGTTCTAAACAAATAATGATAAGCACTGGACCACGTTGTTAACTGTGAAGCGGGGTGGCTGGTGGTAAAAGTGAGACAGAGATTCATATCCTTGTGTGTACGTACTGTACTGTGGGAATTGAAGTTGGCTTAATATAGAAAGGAATGTATCATTCGGAAGCAGTTGTTTTCTAGAGAGGGTATTTATCTGTTTGTACGGTGATATGTACTTGGAAGAGAAATCACTGCAGAGAACGTCGACTTTATAAAGTACATAACAGGACATTCTGAAACTACCTCATGCCTTAAATTACACAAACTGCATGCGAAGATAAGTGGGATGACGCAGGGTGGTAGGTCAAGCAAGCGAAGATGCATCCAGTCATGGAGTCTTATAAGATACTCACGATTCTTAGTCGTAGTCAAAATCCCCCGCAAAGACCTCAGCTGTAATTTCTGACCTCATTAGATCGTTAGGAGATGGACGGTAGCCAGAAGAGAGCCCTTACGTAGACCTCAAGCTGAGATCAGGTGGACCTTCTCTTACCTGCAGAGCTTGGAGCACCCAGTTGTCATCAGAAATTGCAACCTTGCTGTTTGTCTGTTTGGACTCATGTTTTTTACAAATCAACGTGTGTAACTACCTGCACCTGTTTTCACTTTAAGTTGCGAATTATGATCATTTTTTTGGGATTCTTGTGCCAATCATTTGCACCCGAACTGCACTATATTATTCGTCTTTCAAGTCTTAAACAGAACTCCGTCTCCACTTATGCTGTTGATCTCGCAATTACTTTTTCATTCAATGCTCCAGCTCCATAGAATTAAGTCCAGTTTAGATCTGATGGATTTCATGGACCAAGAAAACTGTACACCTCAAGTCATAATATATCATCATATGCCATAAATTTGTGGTACCACCGTACCAAATTCTGGAATGAAATGCGAAACTAGGTTACAGAGAATGACCGTAATCCACCGCAGTCAACTATATAAAACACCAACTCAGACCACGTCATCAAGGGCCATGTCTGAGTACGGTGTCATGTCTTACTGCGCATATCGTTAAAGAAGACATCGTTCGCCTCCTTTGAGCTGCGTAAAGTTTCTCAGTTGGAAGTCGAGGAATATCCACATTCGCAGTCAAGGTCAATCAATATTCCACTCGGATCAGGTTGTTCTCTCTCTGTGTATCTGTACGTAGAGTGGCCGCAAGTCTGCATCTACGATGTAACTAGGGGCTTGTCTGCGTCGCGCGGCCAAAAGTGATGTATACAATAAAATCTCTGTTCAGAATTAAATTATATTTGAAAGTATATTAAACACCAACTCAGAACACAGCATCAAGGTGTTAGGATTTTCACAACCCTGCGAAGTCCTATGGATCTTGGGAACAACAAACAAATACGTAGTAAAAAAATAAAATACAAGGCACAAGATATAAGTGGAAAACCTCAAACGCTACAAAAAACCACAGTAGCCACGCTAGTCCACTATGAATCGATCAAAGTGTACAGGTCTACTCGCAATCTCTCTTAGGTCCGTTTTCTTTCGCCTCTCTCTCGCAATCTCTCTTAGGTCCGTTTTCTTTCGCCTCTCTCTCTCTCTGTTTTCTCCGAAATCGTCAAACCGTAATTAGTAACAACAAGTTAAATAAATGGGTCGAATCTAATACAAAAATTACACATAGAGGTTCCTCAAATATCATTGTCGCTGCAGTTCGGTATGCTCCTAAAGTCCCACACATGAACTGCATGACACACATGACCCTAGAGACTCTCCACCCCAAATTCCCAATATAAAACACTGCTGAAGGTTGTCTACCTCCAACAATCTCCCACTTGAAGAGAACTGAAGCATCAGCAAACAAACCTCTGCAAATCCAAGTAATCTCAAACAACGTGGACGTAGTCACCTGATCCCTCTTAGTGCAGCTCCACGCCTATCATCTCTTCAAGCATGAATGCCAACTGAAGTCGAACAACTTCAGTTTTTGAACAGTAACAGACTTGGTTAACATATATGTTGGATTTTCATCCCTCAAAATCTTCTATAGCAACAAATCCCCATACTCCAAAAGCTAACAAATGAAATGATACCGTAAATCATGGAACACTGGATATTTGACAAGGTGTATAGCACTGTGGCTGTCACAAAAAAAAACGCAATTCTATTGCTTCAAATCCAACTTCTCCAAAAAGCCCTTCATCCAAATTATCTCCTTTGCAGCTTCAGTCACGGCCACATACTAAGCTTATGTCTTGGATAGTGTCACTACTATTTGCAGACTTGAGACGCAACTCACCGTTGTTGAACCCATGGTGTAGACATCATTTGTGATGCTTCGCCGCGTATCTTGATCACCAGCAAAGTCTGCATCCACATATCCATTCATTGTCAACTTCACTCTCCTAAAACAAAGTGGCAAATCAGTTGTAACTCTCAAATATCGCATGATTCACTTTAAAGCTTCCCAATGCTGCTTACCTGGATTGCTAGCAAACTTGCTCATAACTCCCATTGCATGGGCAAAATCTAGTCTCGTGTTCACCATGGCATACATCAGACTACCAATGGCTGAGGTATACTGAACCTTCGCCATGTACTCTCTCTCTGCATCTATCTTGGATGATTGCCCTTGAGAAAGTTTGAAGTGACTTCCCAAGATTGTGCTAACTGCCTTAGCACCATGCATATTGAACCTCTCCAGAACGCGTCCAATATACTAAACATGACTCAACCTCAAAGTCCCCTGAGCCATATACCTGCTGATTCCCAAGTATCAACTTAGCTGCACCCAGATCTTTCATAGCAAACCTTGTTGCCAACTAATGTTTCAACATGTTGATCTCCCTAACACATGACCATACTACAAGCATATCATCTACGTAGAGTAATTAAATATTGTAGCTTGTCTCAAACCCCTTGAAGAAGCAACAATGATCTTCATTGCACCTTGTGTAGCCAGTGCGTAAGATGAAACCATCAAATTTTTTGTACCACTGTCTGGGAGTCTGTTTCAAACCATACAGACTCTTCTTGAGCCTACATACCATATCTTCCTTGCCTTTCACAATGAAGCCAACAGGTTGCTTCATGTAGATTTCTTCATCCAAGTACCCATGAAGAAAAGCATTTTTAACATCTAACTGCTCAACGTAGAGATTCTTTGCAGCAACTAAACACAACACCCTTCTAATAGTGGCAATCTTCACAAATGGCAAAAATATCTATGTATAATCGATCCACTCCTTCTGTTGGAAGCCCTTAACAACCAATCTTGCCTTGTACCTTTTCTTGCCATCAGTCTCTTGCTTTAAGACAATAGACCCACTTGTTCTGCAAGGCTTTCTTCCCAGCGGGAAGTTGAGCTAATTGCCAAGTATCGTTAAAATGACGAGAATCCATCTTTTCCTGCGTCGTAGTCTTTCACTTAGCTGACTTAGGATCCTCCAAAGCCTCATCAAAGCATTCTGATTCTCCTCTGTCCGTCAAAAGCAAGTAATCAAGCAAAGAAATATGTTTTAGATTTGACTTATATGGTCTAGCTGTTCTCCTTAGTTTCTTCACCGTTGAGATAGTCCTTGTCTCTAGAGTTGACCATATTGAAATTGTCTCATCTAAAGCACTATTCTTTGTCTCAATGAATCCCTGCTCAAACCCATTGTCATCTGAAAGAACCTTTTTACCACTCCAAACCTCCTCTGGTATGCCAAAGTTTAACAAAAGTAATGGCCCAAGATTGATCAAATATGTTGATGTACTTACTGCATCTGCCCAAAACATCTTGGGCAAACTTGCGTGTATCCGCATGCTTCTAGCACGCTTTGTTAAAAACATGTTCTTCCTCTCTGCAATGTCGTTGAACTGTGGAGTACCTAGAGGAGTACTTTCCAAACAAATTCCATTCAAGCCATAGAATTTCTTGAACTCTCCCAACTCATACTCGCCTCCATTGTCGGACCTCAATTGTTTCACCTTCAAGTGTGTTTCATTCTCAACCATGGCTTTCCACTTCTTGAAGACTTCAAAGACCTCTGACTTTTGCTTCACGAAGAATACTCATACCTTTTTTGAATGATCATCAATAAAGGTAACAATGTAGTAAGAACCGCCAAAAGAATGCACTATAGCAGGACCCCACACATCTGTATCAACAAGCTCTAGCTTCTGAGCCCTGGGTGGTCTGCCAACTTTTTGAAAACTGACACGTTTCTGCTTCTCAAAAATACAACTCTCACAGATGTCAATATCCACTGACTCTAACTCTGGTAGTTTTCCAATTGCATACATAATGTTCATTTCCTTCTCACTCATATGCCCAGTCTATTGTGCCATAGATTTGAACTCTCCATGTAGTCTAAAACTGCCAAAAAGTCGCTACCATGTAAAATCAAGTAAAGTGTATCAACTTTTTTGCCTTTAGCCGCCACCATGATAACGTTGGAGACTTTCTATGTGTACCCGATGAATGTCGATGTATGACCTGTTGTTGCAAGCTGTCCAACCAAAACAAGATTCCTCTTCAAATTTGGAACATGCCTGACATCTTTCAGACACAATGTGTATCCTTGCGTGTCAATCTGAACATCTCCTCTTCCCACAATACCACATGGCTTCTCATCGCCCAAGTATACTTTCCCAAAGTCTCCTTCTACATAGTTCTGCAGAACCTTCCTATTAGCAATGGCGTGGAATGAAGCACCAGAATCAATCATCCATGATTCGATGTCAATGTCCATAGCAAAAATAAGTACATCGTGCAGATTATGAGACTCATGTCCATTATTACTCATCTTTGGTGCTTTGTAGGTTTGTGACATATGGCATGTTTGACCACAATTCCAACATTTGCCTTTAATGAGCCGAACCTGAGATTTAGCCTTATTTTCCTTGCCTTTGACCTTTGATTTTGACTTGTTCATGTTCAGATTTTGACCATCGTTACTTTGGATTTTGCTCCCTGCTGCTCAAAACTTAGGGTTGATCCCGAAGTGCCTGAACCTGAACTATCGATCGAACCTCTTCTGACCTCCTCAGTCCAAACCAAACTAACAACTTCATTCAGTTTCAACTTTTCTTTTCCTGTCGAATTACTAACTGCAGTAATTGTACCCTGCCAGCTCTCTCGCAATTGAGACTGAATCGAGAAGGCTTGAACCTCATCATCAAACGTGACGGCGACACACACAAGTTGATCAACAATCGTATTGAAATCATTGAGATGTGTCATAAAGGAAATTCCTTTTGGCATAGACAAGTTGAATAGTTTTTTCATAAGATGTATCTTATTCGCAGCAGACGGTTGCTCGTACATCTTCTTCAGTGCTTGCATAAGCAACTCCGTCGTATTCTAACAATACGTTATGGGTGACTGATTTGGAAAGGGACATGAGATTTACTCCTAACATCTTCCTATCTAGAACTTCCCAATCCTCATTGGACTCTCATGTTTTCTTTCCTTTTTCTATAACTAGTAGCGGCCATAAACATACTACTGATACATATAGTCCTCTATCTGCGTCTTCCAAAATGCGAAGTCTGACACATCAAACTTCTCCATCTTATTCTTGCCATCTTCAAAACCTATAGCTCCCACTGAAATTCTAGCATGTTCTTACGAGATTAAACCCTAACCTATCGAACAAATCCTACCGCAACTAGCAGCTTTGATACCAGTTGTTAGGATTTTCACAACCCTACAACGGCCTACGGATCTTGGGAACAACAGATCAACAAACGAACAACAAGTAAATACGTAATAGAAAAACGGAAAGAGAAATACGAATCACAAGATTTACGTGGAAAATCTCAAACGCGAGTAAAAACCAGGAGAGCCGCACCAGTCCATTATGAATCGATCAAAGTGTACAAGTCTACTCGCAATCTCTCTTAGATCCGTTTTCTCTCGACTCTCTCTCTCTCTTTTCTTTGAAAACGTCTAACCTTAATTATTAACAACAAGTTAAATGAATGGGTCGGATCTAAAACAAAAATTATACACGGAGTTACCTCAAATATCATTTTCGCTGCAGTGGTATGCTTCTAAAGTCGCACACACGTGTCCTGGGCTCCCGCCCCCAAATCCCCGGTATAAAACACTGCTAAAGGTTGTAAGCACCCCAACACTAGGGCCATGTCTGAGAACGGTGTCATGTCTTACTCAACATATCATTAAAGAAGACATTGTTCGCCTCCTTGAAACTGCGTAAAGTTTCTTAGTTGGAAGTCAAGGAATATCCACATTCGCAGTCAAGGTCAATCAATATTCCACTCGGATCGGGCTGTTCTCTCTCTCTGTGTCTGTCTCTGTACGTAGAGTGTTCGCTAGTCTGCATCTACGATGTAACTCGGGGCTTGTCTGCGTCGCGGCCAAAAGTTAGGAATAAAATCAAATCTCTGTTCAGGCTTGAATTATTTCTGGAACGAGACACGTGATATGATACAGGATCACAGAAGACTGGATCCGATGGCCTCGAAGAGTGCTCCGTTGCCGGAGAAGGAACGGAAGGGTCGGATGCTGCATTTCTCGGTCAACATATTGAGGGGCAGCCGGGGCGTGGAGGGGGCGGGCTCATTTGGGTGCTTGAAGTGCTTGAATTGCTTGAATGTGAACCATCATCGTAATAGCACATCTCATCGTCTTCTTCTCTCGGCGGGAGATCTGTAATTGGTGACAAGCCAGTTGAGTGGAGGAGAGTGATACATGCGGACAGACAGACGGTCGATCGGTAAGTCTTCATTTCATTCTCTCCTCCTTTGTGATTTTTATTGCTTGAAATGCTGTGCATGACAAGACCTCTGAAAGTTGTCATAGAAAGAATGGGATTTTAACTTAGTTTTCTTGATCGTTTGATGAGCATCGTAAAGGGTTTAAGGTTTATTAACATTGAAACTTATGGTGCAGTGAGGATCGAGAGGACTACTTGGGCTAGGGTTTAAGGTGTATCCAAATTGAAACTAATGGTGGAGTGAGGATCGAGAGGGAGAATAGACGCCGTCTCTTTAATACTCACGTGAGATTCACTCGCTGGAATCGATCCGGGGTTGAAACGCTGGCTTCTGCTGGGAACCATGGAGTTGGAGAGATCGTCGAGGAGGAAGAAGAAGTTCGACGTTGAAGCATCTTCGAGCAGGTCGAGCGGGGCGAGACGAACCTGTGCCTACAAGAGATTCCCAAATTATTCGAACATTGCAGATCAGGCGTTTAAGTCGCTCTTGGAGACTTGTGGATTGGATCAATTGTACGCATGTTTGAAGTGGCGATGGACTCCGGTCGACTTCATCGTGGACTTTGTCGGCCATACGCAGATTCAAGAAAGCACTCGCTTCGAAGATACGATTATTCTGTACTACCCTCGTGGTAGCGGGACTCCCATGCTTTTCACCATGCATAACGTAGCTGCAACCTTCAAGCTCGACCTTCAAGGATTCTATGTGGACAAAGCCACATGTAAGGACGTCGACATGAATGATCGATACCGAATGCAGAAGACACCGATGGGAGACACTTACTTTCCAGTCACCTCAGCAGCCTCAAATGGCCTCTACCTCCTCGCCAAATTCGTCATGCAGGTGATTTTCCAAAGCCGGAATCCTTTGAAAGGTTCCATTGTCTGCATGAGGCATCTGCAAGTCGCTCTCGATGGCAAGCCCGTAGCCTGGGGCAAGCTGCTGTGGAAGTTCCTTGTCAAGAGATTGCTCAGCTGCCAGCAACAAGAGGGCGCCCGGGATTTCCATTCCAAGTTGAAGTCCTCTTACGTCGGCCTGGCTGCTGTCATCGCAGCTGTACTGCTGAGAGTCGAGATTAATAGCATACCTGACCACGAGGAGTGGTACTCTAACCTCTTGTGTTCTCTGCCAGAGACCGAGAATTCCAGTTCAGACTATTTCGAGTCTCTACAAAGTGATGAGCCAAAGTACTCGTCAACAGAGGAGAAGGATAGCTCCAGCTGTGGGCAAATCAGTGGTTCCCGAGAATTTGTTGAGCATCAGGAGGAGGAGGAGGAGGATTCGCAAGTTGAGATCCTCGAGGTGGTGAGTGAAGATGATGAAATGTCAAAGGTTGGCCGAGCTTTTCCAGCTAATAAGACCGGAGGTCAAGGACAACGATCAGCACCAGTGAGGGGTGGTGATAACGCAGAAGGAAGTGACTTAAATCAATGGGGCATGAGAAGGAAGAGGATGAGGGCGATGGCTTCGATGGAGGTCACCAACGCGGACTTGGACGGAGAGAGAAGTGCATGGGACGAGGATGAAGACGATAATTCCGAATTATCAAATGTTCGACGAGATGTTCCTGGAAAGAGGAGGAAAGCACTCTTCGAAGGACGAGTGGAGCGGATGTTCCAACCTACAAAAAAGCTCAAACATGATGGGATTGAAGACCTTCCTGAGCAAGAAATGATGGAGCAAATAACGGACGCAGTGTACAATTTGAGGGAGAATACTCAGATTGAAAAGCACCAAAAGAATCACAAGAGGACGGAGATAATGAGTTTCAGCAGAGACGTCGTAGAGTCTGTTTCCAACGCTAATAGGATCCTTGCCAATACACTTGAGCTCATGGAAGAAACCGTGCTACAGAAATCCGACCGTGTCAATCAAAAATACGAAGCTGCAAGGTGTCTGATCTCTCAAAGAAGTGGTACGATGACTGGTGAGGAGGACGAGGAGTGCTTAGGCAAGGATTGCCAGGATGACGATCGAGAGGCTGCGAAAAAGAAATACTATGAGAACGTGGCAACTGCCGACTTGAGCCACGAAATTATGAATTTAAAAAAGGATATGAAGTTGATGAATCTGTATCTTCATGTGAACGCTATAAAGCTGGATCAGAGAGAGGTAGAAGTCAAATCGATTATAGAAGGAATCGAGATTCTGCTGTGCTCCTTATATTCATTGCAGGAGAAACTACTCGAAGATCAAATATTCGACGAGATCAGACAACTTCTGCAATTGAAACTAGTCGCGCTCGACAAACTGGTTGAAAACATACGAGATTTGAACGAAGATCTGAAACTGCAACAGGAAAAGGTGGACAACGAAATGGAAATGCTGGACCTGAAGGAAGACGAAATCAAGACGAGCAGATTTCAGTGATGGCATGAAGACCATACATTCATTACTAATAGCAAGGTTTGATGCTTCAGAATGTGGAGATTGTTGAGTATATCTGTCGAAACCTCTATGTTCAAGGGGAACGAAACCAGATCTACATTGATTCTATTTGTCAGGATGGAACTATGTACATATGTTTTTTAGAATGCAGTTACTAAATCTAGTGTCTCTCTCGTTACTGTCTTCATGTTGTGTAATTAGATTTGCAATGAATAGAGGAAGTGAGTTTATCGTGTTCCATTCGCACACTCCGGCGGTCGATCTTTATGAATATTGCGGGTACTGTATTCGAATAGCGTTGACGTTGTCCAAACTCATGACTGGAAGTTGGCTTATGTGGGTGTGTAATCTATGATACTGAATAGAGTCGGAGTTAGCGCCTATCGCCTTTACGTGCAGTTCTTAGTGTAGGGTGCATATGAATGAAAACTCAACCTTGTTAATATTTATGTATACTTTATTGTCTCTTGAGCAAAATGATACGAGTGGATAAACAAATTAATTGAAGAGAAGATTACAAGTTGCACAAAAATAAAGCCAAAGAGTTAGACAATGCATATTTCTGATGAGATCAAAGTAATATATGTATACAATGACAACTAAAATTTCATAAGTAAGCAAATAATATAATATAGAGTTGATCGTGTGTTAATAGTTATATTTTGTTAATCGTTATATTTTGTTTGATTTTAATAATTATAATAATTAGCAAGATAACACTATAATATGATTAGCAAAAATTTATATATTTTACAATAGTGTTTTCAATAAGGATCATTATTTTATTCTATTCCCTAGATATTAAAAAAATTAGATGAATATTAATTACTACAAATAAGTGATATCAAAACTGATGAATATTATTAAAATAAATTATGAATGATATGAAAATGAGCAAGATTTTAACTCAAGCAACTTGAAAGTCTAACAATGCAGATATTTAGAAGAATATACAAGAGATTGAATTGTTGAGGAAGAAAACAATTCAAGAATAAATTAAATGGTAGTAACAAATACAAGAGATTCAATATTTGACACAAATGACAATTTAAAAATAAAATGGTTTGAAACAATTTGACAATCCATGCAAGTAATTTTTCAACAACAAACAACGCATGAATAAAGTTGAATAATCAGCGCATAAGATTTTAATGTGACAATTGTGAGCCGATTATCATGTTAAATAGATAGATAATTTACAAAATTTGAATATTTGTGTAAGATAGACAATGTGAGTTTGTGAATAGTTGTGTACAAACCATGTTGGATCATAGCAATTGTTTGTGATAAAGCAATATCAATCACAACAATGATTGTTGGTGCACTTGACTATTAGAATGATCATTTAATCAAGGTTAGTTTGAACTCCTAGAACACATATAAAATTTCAAAGCCATGATATGAATTTAACTTAATAAATGTAAATGTAATAAATTAAAATTAAAATTAATGTATATAAATGCAAATGTTATTTTTGAAAGTGAAAATGCAAATTGCACATGAATCGAGTAGCATCACATGCTGCAATAGCATTATATATCAAACTCATCTTCATTCATAAGCATTGCAAAATAATTACGTCACACATTGAATTTATGTCAAAAAACAAGTAAAATGATATGCAAGAGATAATCATAAACATAGTGCTGTTATATTTTTCAATCACATGTCATCAATAGAATCTCCATATTGAAAGAGATGATGAAAATTTATACATTTTAAATACAAATTTAGATGATTAAATTAAATTTTTTACATTGTATTGGATTTTATCATAATTCATTTTAATAGGAAAAAATAATCTATAATGAAATTATAAGTAATCTATTAAAAAATTATATTTATTTGAAATGATGAAACTTCTTAATAATCATCTTTTGTAGACACACGTTTGAATAGTATTAAGTGAGAAGGTTTCTAAACTGTCTGGATGATGAAAAAACTCTTGAAAAGAAGATCTCGATACATCACACATGCCTTTAAACTAATCAACTGAAACAAAACTGTCTTCACAATTTATATGAAGTGTCTGGATCAAATCCAATTAACAACAAAAAAAAGTTAATGATACATGTTTGATGATTATTATGTTTTGTGATTATAACATTGTAGCCTTTATATTTCATTTCAATAATAATTACATTCATGATATTTGTCATGCTTGGAATTAAAATAAAAGATTCCTTAAAAGTGTATACAAGTATGAAGATGAAAGATACTTAAAATGCTTCTACTCTCACTTATATAGATATTATCAACAAGTATAAGGAGATAAAATACCCCTATGGATTAATACAAACTCATTCAAAGATGTGACAACGAGAATAAACATCTAAAATATTTTTATTCTCACTTATATAGATATTACACACAAGTACAAACATGAAAGGTCTTGATAATTCTCAACTCAGACATTTATTAGCACACTCAATCTTATGCAAAAAGCACATGCATTGCTAACGAGTCGTTGACAATAAACACATTTATTCTCTATTTACTAAACACACAAATTGTTGACGTGACAACTATAGATAGTGTATCATAATATAACTATATGTTTATCTTGAAGAAATAATTATTAACTTTTTTACTAATTAAATATGATTATATTAGTAAAAAGTACATATTTAATATTTGATAAAATATTTGGCTTTTGAAATGATCAATGATAAGATTGAAATCAATGAATTGTGAAATTTCAAATGTTTCATACTCTTCAATATACCTTGACAAAAATATGATGTTTTTAGTATGTGATGAATAACTTGATTTTTTAATATAAATTATGCATATGTAATATAAATTATTTGACGTTTTTTAACAAATTTAAAATTTTGATATAATAAATTATTTTAATAGAATAATGAAAATTTAAGATTAAATTCAATTAAAAATATAATTTTTAACATAAATTCAAAATTTTATTTACAAATAATTTAAATTTTTTTTCTTAAAGTTGAGTTTTCAGAATTTGAATATTGGAATATGGAAAATGCAAAATGCAAATCAATTACAATGTGTTACTACAGGCATCAAATCTTTTCACTTTATAATATAGTAGGCAAAATTATCTAATATTTCTTGAGTTGCAATGTTTTTGTATCTAATCAAATATTGAAATTTAACATTAGATTTTAATCATTTCAATTAACCTCAATTTCAGCAAGATAAATTTAAATATGAAGGTTAAAATAAAAAGATTACATAGTACCATCTTTGTATAAATCTGGATTTATATTAATAAATACTTATGATGTATATTTATATTACGTTTAAATTTTGATACATCATTAAAACTTCATTTTTCTAAAATGACAAGAAGTAGATAAAAGGTTCAATCATTTCGAAATAGCGACTTATGAACTAAAACAGAATTTTAATCAATACTTGGGTAAGCAAAAATCAAGTAAATGATTGAATTTGAATTGGTATCACCATAGTGATCATAGATCCTTCATAACATATGTAACATCACATTTTTATATTATACGTATAGTTATTAGAAATAATATTGTATAAAAAGGGGAAAATTCTCCTATCAAAGTTTGAGTATCACTCTCGCCAGACCAGAAATTAGATTCAAAGTTCCGTAAGATCTGATTTTTTTTTTTTTTTTTTTTTTCATTTTACGTTGTTCTGCATACATCCGCGGTTGCAGAAGTGATGAAGAAAGCAATGTCAATAGACTTGCCACAAGGTATACATATCGCGGCCACCTTATATGACACTCAGTAAAAGTTTCAAGATAATTTTAGAATGCTTTGAGAATTTGGGAACAAACACTGGAAAATAATATTCAGTGAACACATCGTATAATGATTTTTCGCACAATACCAGTTGTACCAGAAACCATAATTTCATCGTAACGTTACATGTAAGATAACATCATTCAGATGTAGCGTGCGATTTATCCCTTGAGCATTCCTTTCTCTATTTCCAAATCCCCTTACACATTAGCCTAGATGGGACTTCCAATTTCGTAATCACCGTCGCCCTTCATCAAATTCCTCCCAAAGTCTTCTATTTGGATACTAACCAATGCGACATTTGATTCCTTCTATTCTAGGAAGGAATTTTGGAGGACTACCGACCACTTTTATTGGACTCTGGTTGCCAGCACGAGGAACTCAGTACTCCAGCGCAGCCGCCCCGCCCCGTGAATAGTCACGTGTCACGTGCGGGAGGCATTGTATTATGCCACTGTACATTGTAAGTACGGCGTATCTCAAACTACAGCGCTCTATTAAGCAGTTTTACTGTCCAGACTACAGTCCTCTACTACGCACGCACTTTTACCGCCCGAGAGGCTCCCCCGAGCGAGAGTGAAACCGGTCAGTCAAACGGAGGAGCATATTCGAGGTGAAACCCCGTGCCCGTAATCGATCGACGGTAGCAAATCGAAGAGAACATAGAATATTCCACTAAGATTCCCGATGCTGGGAGAGACAACCACCGGCGACTGCTGTGGACGAGCGCAGTTCAGACGAAGGCCGGAACAGCGCTTTCCACCTAATCCTCCCGTAATGCCAAGTCATTACATTAAGACCGATGTGGAGGGCGTCACACTACGTCAAGCGGGAATCACATGACCCACGTGTACAGAAATCTGCTGACTGTTCAGGCGAAGAGCAGAGTTGCGGACCGGAGAAGGAGCATGGGGTTTGGATGGATAAGATTTTGCGCGGAGAGCATAGACGGAGGAGATGGGCGGGCAGGTGGGGAAAATAGCGAAAAATGTATTTTAAAATGGCGAAATTGGAAACAGTAAAGAATCGGGAGAGAAACGAGAGGGAGGGATGGCGACGAGGGGAGGGGAGGGGAGGGGAAGAGGAGGAGCCGGGAAGAGCTGCAAGCGCTGGAGTCGCTGCGCAGTGTGATGATTGTGGGGGTGGTGGCGGGGGCGATGGTGGGGCAGGCGCAATTCCGGTGCTTTCCGGTGCTTTTGGGTGGGCAACGAGGCGGCAGAGCGAGTGGAGCGATCGCCAGAACGCGGGGCCTGATGGAATTGCAAACGTGAGCATTTGCGCAGCAAATGGATGGGTCGCTCGTCTGATCGATGCGATCGATGCCGGCATAAGTAGGCCGATGACGACCGCCAGGAGGAGGCGCAAGTGTCGACGGTGCTGTCAGTAGTACGGAGGTCGATTGCACCTTCAGCACATCGCAATTTGCAAACAAGAAGAAGAGTTGTGGAGAGAGAGAGAGAGAGAGAGAGAGAGAGAGAGAGAGAGAGAGAGAGAGAGAGAGAGAGAGAGAGAGAGAGAGATGGAAGTGGGAATTTGCCGAGTTGGGGTGTGGCCGGGGGCAGGGGCATTGGGGTGTACATTGTCATCGAGCGAGTGCAACGGTGGAAATTCGTGTTTCCCTCCGTCCACTTCTGGGTTTTTGTGCTCTTCTTCTTCTTCTTCCTATGGGCTGGTTTCGAACAGCTGTAGGGTAGCGGCGTCTCGGAAAGCTGGCGGCGAAGGGCAGCAGCAGACCGGGGCAGTGATCAAGACGAGGTCGGGTCGAGGAGCTTTGAGTTGCAGTGATGGAGGTATGTTTTGCCGCATGCGCCGGATTAGTTTGGGTAGAGAACTGGGGTTCAAACGGAGCAGCAGGGGCAACGTTGGAATGCAGGCTGAGGTTGGAGGATCAGGAAGCAGTAACCCTCAAAGAGAAACGGTTCAAGCAACCATAGAACAGAGCAAGCGCCTGCTGGCTATGCAAAAGGAGCTCCTCAAACAGGTATGTTCTCATACGAGGAATTATGAAAACCTCGATTTTGTGCTATGTATTGCAGACGTAAACGGGATGTTAGTTTAACACTTTACCCAATTGAGCATGAGAATTGGCTGGGCATCGAGGCCGTATGACATCATATACTTACACATGTGACTGAGAGGATCCTGCCTGTCCTTAAGTTGTGCTTTGGCAAGCCCGAAGCTTATTTGAGAAAGGCTGGAACAGCGTTCCCATGGTTTTTCGTCCTTCATAGTGAGATAGTTGAAGTCTCAATTTTCGTCTTCTACTTGAATCACATTGTTGCCTGTCAACTCCACAATGTCTTCCGTCTATGACTGACGGTGGCAGTTTCGTACCGAGTACCGGGAGGACTCAATTAGCACCCTTGATTATCACTTATATCCAGTCTTTATGCCAATTTGAGTTTATACATTTTTCATTTTGTTCTGTTGAATAATGGTTGTGTTTTGAGTCTTGAAGATATGTAGTCTTTGACCAACATTTTTAATGCCGCTTCTATTGAGAGTGCCCTTCTGAGTATCCTTTTCTGCGCGTATGCAGATCGAGGAGCGTAAAAAACTGTATTCGTCACTGTCGGATGCGGCTGGAAATCGAACAGAAGAAATACAGGCTTTCAATGAAGCAGATTCAGCCATTCAAGACAAGATCGAAGAAATTCGAGCCATCCAAAGTGGAGCGCAAAAGTCAGGAAGTGGAAAATCTGAAAGTGGCGCTGGTGAACTGATCGGTGACGGTAAAAGCAAGAACAAGGCTACAAGTCCTACAGCCAGGCCCTTGGCTGCATCTTGGCAGTCCCCTGTAGCTCCTCGGTCTTCTCCTTCTTCATCTTCGTCTACCTTCCCCGCAACAAAACCTGCCGTTCTATCTCCAGTTCAAACTTTCTCACCAAATTCCATTTCTTCACCGCAAGCCCCGTCCATGAAACCGTTTGTTGCACCTGCCCCAAACCCAACAACAAAGCCGATCTCGTTAATACCTCCCGAACTGCCTGAGTCAACATCAAAGAAGGATACCGAAAAGATTGGGGAGTTGGACGATGCTGGTTCCGAGAAGGAGGTTGACGTTCCTCCACCTTTGGCTGGGCCGAACGTCATGAACGTGGTCCTTGTGGCAGCCGAATGCGCTCCCTGGTCCAAAACAGGTAGTCCATCCTTTCGAATACCATGCAACTCTAGACAGGACATAATCATCGGAGGCTCCGTCAGTGTCTGTGGAAAGTAGTGATGCGATCATTCTAGTTTTATTTTTTTATTTTTTTATATTTAGTTTTAAATTACCCACTGGAGCTCAAATTTTGGATTCAACACCTAGAGTGGTGTGGTAGGGACAGCTGGAAGGATGTAAACAGTAGACGATTTGAGCACTACATTTATAAGCCAATTGTAACGAATGTGTACCGTGCTTGTGAACAGGTGGGTTGGGTGATGTCGTTGGAGCTCTTCCCAAAGCTCTTGCACGTAGAGGACATCGCGTAATGGTAGGTGGAAATGACAATGAAACTTCTTTGACGTGGTATTTACATTTTCCTCTTCTGTAGGCATTGTAATTGCTAGTGATCTGGAGTATACTCACCTCGTAGTACTTACGAGTGAGTACTACCCTTGAGGTTTGAGCATTTGTATAGATCAAATCATATCGGGTATTGGAAATACAACACTTTTCTGATATTTGACGATTGATTGCAGGTTGTTGCCCCTAGATACAGCAATTATTTGGAAGCCTGGGACACTACAGTGCGTAAAACTTACAACGTTGGAGGACAGGTAGGGTTTGTCCACCATGAGTTTCAGTATCAATTACATTTGCTTACTAAGCTAATCTCGGAGTCAATTTTTCAGTCGATGTATGATCTAGCGATGTTGTTTAATGTTTTCTCTAGTCTATCGGCAATTTGCCAGAGAGGTTCGTCCCCGAGTGATGAAAGCCTGTCAAGATGTACAGCCTTTTCCCACAGCAATTTTATTATCTTTTTTTACTTTTTTGCTATATCACAATTATGAATAGGTGGAACTAAATTTGGTAGGATGATTGAAATCTGTGTATGCAGGATATGACTGTTGGTTATTTCCATGGCTACATCGACGGTGTAGATTTCGTGTTTATTGATTCACCTTTATACCAAGCTTTCAAAACAAACATATATGGAGGCTCTAGAGAGGTACCATACGACCTATGTGATGATGAATAACTCTGTAATGCGGTGAAGTGTGCTGTCCAGTCACCCGATAAGTTATTCTTCATGTTTATAAGAACTTTTGGATTCCCTTGTATTTGATACATCTGTGACGAGAATGTTGGTCCGATTTCCACATCCATTGAATCGATGATAATCTTGCTGGCTACGATCAAGTCTGCTTAGGTCTCTCCTGCGGATCCACCATTGTCCTTCGACATAGTTATTACTCAAGTGGTTTTACGATTTGAAGCGGTCGACTCCATCTTAATATACCCACCTAAATTGTGCAGGAGGTGCTCACGCGAATGATTCTTCTTTGCAAGGCAGCTGTTGAGGTTTGTAACTCCAGCCTGACTGTTCCATCCAGTGTGTACTGTGTGTGAGAAATAATGAGAGGACAGGTCGAGATGTTTGATTCTTTCCTTGCGGGCATGGTAATCTCTCGAGGAGTAGCATGATCCTTCTATTTGAAGACTTAAAGATTTAAAGACTAAAAGCTACCCGACATTGCTTTTATTGACATATCTTCGAACTGTTCCAGGCTCCATGGCACGTTCCTTGTGGTGGTGTTCCGTATGGAGATGGGAATCTAGTTTTCATCGCCAACGACTGGCATACTGCCCTCTTGCCAGTCTACTTACAGGCGTATTATCGTGACCATGGGCTCATGCAGTTCACCAGAGCAGTACTGGTCATCCACAACATGGCTCATCAGGTGCCTGGGTCCCGCAGTTTTCCGTTTCTTTTCCAGTCAGCTCTTGGTTTTTATCAGTGTGATTCCGAGGTGTAGATTTTCTCTTGTTGTTCAGTGCGATCCCTAGTATAGCGTCTGACCCAGGGTCGTGGTGATGGATCAGGGTCGCGGTCCGATGACAGATTTTAGAAAGTTGGGATTGCCAGATCACTTCGCCTCTAAGTTTCGGCTGGTAGATCCTATTGGTGGAGAGCACTGCAACGTGTTCAAAGCAGGTCTTATTACTGCTCACAGAATTGTGACGGTCAGTCATGGATATGCCTGGGAGGTTCAAACACAGGAGGGAGGCTGGGGATTGCACGGTGTAATAGGAGAGCACTCTTGGAAGCTCCGGGGTGTCGTAAACGGGATTGATGAGAAAGAATGGAATCCAGAAACCGATCCATGTCTTCAGAGCGATGGATATCAAAATTACTCCGTGGAGAACATGGAAGGCAAGGCAGCGTGTAAGGCTGCCTTGCAAAGGGAATTGGGTCTTCCAGTTCGTCCTGATGTGCCCTTGATCGGTTTTATCGGACGTTTGGATCACCAGAAAGGAGTGGACATCATTGCGGAAGCAATGCCGTGGATGATGAGTCAGGATTTACAGCTCGTAATGCTCGGCACAGGGAGGCCGGACTTGGAAAATATGCTTCGAACTTTTGAAGGTCAACACCGTGAAAAGGTTCGAGGATGGGTTGGATTTTCAGTGAAAACAGCACATCGCATCACTGCTGGAGTTGACATCTTACTCATGCCTTCCCGTTTTGAGCCATGTGGCCTGAACCAGCTGTACGCCATGAAATACGGAACCGTGCCGGTTGTGCACTCGGTCGGTGGATTGAAGGACACTGTACAACCATTTGATCCGTTCACAGAGTCAGGCTTGGGCTGGACCTTCGATCAGGCATCAGCAGCGGGGCTCATCCATGCTCTGGGTAATGCTATGTGGACCTTCAAGGACTACAAGAAAAGTTGGGAGGGTATCCAAAGTCGAGGCATGAAGCAAGATTTGAGCTGGGATAATGCGGCGCAGTTGTACGAGGAGGTGCTTTGCGCTGCTAAGTTCCAGTGGTAGATTGTCTTCTCCCTGTACAATCTTCCGTCTTTCGAAGACTCCGAACCAGTACCTCCTTCCACGGCGAGGAGAGGAGACCAAAACCCTCGCGGAAACTCAGCACATCTGGATTTGTGGTGTCGTGAAACTATCCCGCATTTTTTTTGTGTCTAATCATTCTCAGCCTATTGCTGTATGTGATTGTTCACGATGAAGTTTTGTCCAGTTGAAATTGTGAACCACAATGTAAACGTAGAAGAGATTTTAGATGACTCAGTTAGGCTCCCTTAGTGTCACATCATCAACAGATGCCCGTCGATGATCATTGTATTCGATAAATGCCCCGCAGACCCCAGTTGCTTCAGTAGGGTTTGATTTAGACGATAGACAAAAGCTTCGAGGTAGATCACTTGTACAATTCCCGTAGACACGATCTCCAGGAAAGCTGCGCGCCACTACTGCCTGTAGCAGTAGTAGTGACACACCGTCAATGAAATGTCCTGCCCGCTCCGCTGGATCTCGAAGAATCATTGGCGCAGGAATTAGCGGTGGGAGGGTTTGTCAGGAGTGTATGTCATCCCGACGAGCCTTCGGTGCATCGTCGGGGCGCTTCCTTCATCACAACTTCTGATGTGAGAGCTTTCAACCAGCGGTTGTATTTCTTGAATATGTGGTAGCGCTGGCATGCGAATTGGTCGACGTCTGGGTTCTATCTGAAGTGTCAGAATCTAGTACGCTCCGAAGTCTTCGTATTCGCAAGACTTGTCCAAATGTCGACTGCGGCCGTGGTCCAGGGTTAGCTTCAGCTCCATGGAGGACATGGTTTGTGTAGCTGATGCTACTTTCCGTCATGTTTATAAATTTACTCTTACCTTCACTTCAGACCGTTGCATTACATGAATTGGTACTTTAGGAGGGCCTGAGCAAACGACTCGCTGTTTATACTCTGGTACGTACTGTGGCGGACAGCAAACCTTTTCCGCAGCACAACTTCTTATGGTGGTGACTGAACAATATATGGCAAATTTCCTCCTAACACAGGTCTCAAATAACGTTTGTTCCGGAGCATTACACTTTCCGTCGTGTCGCGAATATTGCGTTCTCATTCAGGGGAAGAGGCTGTTGTGAAAGATGGGAACAGAGTGCACGTGTGGTGAGCTGAAGTTTAACTATGGTGTTTGAAAATAATTTTTCCAGTGGATACAAGACGTGTGTGGGAAGTTTGCGTCCATTGCTCTTTACTCACAATGCACGCATTGGGTTGCCTTCCCTGCGGCAAAATGTATACTGCATGGTTAGTGAGGTGTGGAACAAGATATATCTCCGGACGCTGAACTCCGCACATCGAAGCATTCTCATCCTCAGTTTCAAGAGAAATGGGTGATACATTCTCGCGAATTATGATACGAATTTGACCCTTTATCCTTTCCGTGATTTTTGTCATGAGAAGGGGTTCAACAATTGTGTATCTTTTTGCTGTTACATATGTGCGATTTTCAGGTGTCGGGGAAAAAAGCTCAGGAAAATGGTTAACTTTTTGCGATATTAAGGTATACGAGAAATGGTACATTTATGCGAGATTCACCTCCTCTCGAGGATAAGGACAAACATTCTTCAACCGTATAAATACTATGGAAATTATTATTTTTCCAGGTCACCCACATATCAGATGTTGCCAGAGAAACAAGTTTGAAAATATGAATCCTACCGGTGATAGATGAATTTCCAAGTTAGCTCATCTATCAGAGGCGAGTAGAAGGTTCCCATTTCTTCATAGTAAGGGTGTACAATGATGTGAGGTTACGTTTCCAAAGGTGCAGGTTGTTAAAAAATGCCTGCTGCCATTCAGCTGCTTGTGTGCAGTCTATATATACACTACCCGTTCGATTATCTATCTACGTCTAACTAGATTGTGTGAATCTGTAGGCTGCCCTCATATTCAATTAGGAATTCTAAAAAGCCACGAGGGTCACATTTGCAATCCCTGGGCTCCACAAGCAACCTAGCATTACAATTATTGAATTAGACAGGCATACGACTGACAACTCCTGAGAAAGAAGCATATGCAGTCGCCCGTAAAAAATATTGCCCAAAGATGTTTACCATGGTTAATTTACTGCAGTTCATCCCCTTGGTGCTGCAGAGTAGGACTCGCCAATCTCAAATCAACAGCAAGATGACCATACAACAGTTCGTTCCACACATCCGGTACACCCGGTAAACACCAATGTAAGCAGTCCTGGTGGCCGGAGTCTTTACCTATGCCGTACTTGGAAATGTGACCCTCCTCTCGAGAGCCAGAGAGGAGCCCAATATTCAAGAGGTGTATTGCTTTACTCCCACGTACAGCATTCTCAACAACCATATCAGTTGCGGGACCCTTGTATGGGATCATCTTCTGACCATAATCAGGCCTCGTATTATCGCAGGTACCACCAGTATTCCATTCTCCATTCTTGAAGTGCCTTGGAGACAAAGTCCTCATGAATACGGTAGGCTTGCCTCCATTCTTAGTGATAGTGGCATCAAGAGCTTCGACAACTCTGAACATACTGAGATTGTAAGCCTCTCCAATGCCACTCAGCTTGCGATCTTTCAGTGGTTTGCCATTCACATACATGTGCCACTTGTTACTCTGAAATTTGCCCCTGTTCCAGTGGTGGCCCGAATTCAAGATAAGCAAGTCCAACTTGAGGATGTCGGTACTGAGGAAAACGTCGAGTCGGTCAAGATGCAGAGCCGCATAACCATTCTCTTCAGGCTTGTCATACTCTAGTAGGTTCAGAGTTGCGGACCAGTAAAAGATGATGGTCGTGTTTGTGCTCTTGAACCTGTAAGCCCATCCCTTGCCTCTCAGATACCCTGGGGCTACAGCTAACCCCCAATCCTTCGCGACATCCTCCACATTCCCGTCTTCTTCCTCGTCCTTTCCTTCCGTCAACATACACATCAGGGACTGAAACTGTTGTCGCCCCAACGAATCTCCAACGAAAGCCACAACCTTGTGCTTCATCCTGCCACAGAGGTCCAAATGAACACGTTTAGACACGATTGAACAATAATGACCGTAGTTAAGTTAGAGATAACCAAGTTTAGATATTGAGCCAACCCCACAGCCACTACTTCAACGTATGCTGGAATAGGTAAACAAGCAGTCCGAGGAAGTCGGGGTTCGTTGGCGGGTCGGAATCTGGCGCGAAGTATGGCAGAAGCTTCGAATTCATGTCGACTCATGGCAGCGGGCGCTAGGAGGTCGTCGAGTACTTCGTCGAGAGGACTGGTCAGATTGCGCAGTTCAACTCATGAGCAGATCTGCTGAAGCGTTCATATTAAAAGGCAAAACGTGGTGGGGAGCACAAGTCTGGTGGCCTTCGACTACATGCGTACATCCCCAGCCGACTTCACTTCTTTACAGCAATCTGACAGATTCTGCCGGGACACCAGGACCGGGAGACTAAGGAGTACTCGGCCTGTGAAAGGAAAGATCAGCTCGTGAAAGACGACGGCAAGGGCTCTCCAATGCTCGTATAAATTTCCAGGTTGGAAGAAGAGCCAGGATGGACGTGGTGGCACCCGCTTCTCGTATTTGGTGGAAGAAAACGGAACCTTCCACGAGCTCCGGTTGGAGCGCCTTGGTTTCGCGTGGAATGACACGAGACACAAGCTAGGAGTAAATAGAGGACAGTTAAAGAGATGTCTGACGACCTTTCCGTACTAGGCATGCGATTGACCATGTACTGTAAGGTGCGAGAATCGTATTCGTATAGAGTGGTAATTATGATCTACTAGATCGCCAATTCTAGAGGGGGCAGGTGAAGTGGCAGCCATAATTGGCTCAGAACTTGAAATCGCTTCGGACTGGACCCACCTGCGCTCCGTAAGGGATTCATCGCAGCCGCTTATGCGCAGCTGTGAATGTACCATTCGATAACAACTTCGTGGGTTCGGTCTGAAGCTGTGAATTCCAAAACGCTGCAGCCTCTGCTTCACCCAACCTTTCCTACGTACACGCTAAGATATGATCCCCTTCATCCTGACTAAAAATAATTTCTAAACCTTGCGGTACAGATGAGACCCTCAGACGGATGATGGAAAATAGATACGTATCTGGAACACGCTAGGCGTAGACTTGGCTCTAAACCATCGTCAAAATCTATGATGCACTAGCTTTCTACCTTCGAAGGACATCTCGAGCAGCAGAACGATCTATCCATGGGATCTTTCAATGGATGGCCGCAGGTAGGGTTCACAGATGAAAGGACATCGATCAGTTACTCGCTCTGTGAACGAGGATCGGTGCTGCGCGACGAAGAGTGTGGAGCCGTCGGAAGAATTTTACCTTTGTAGAAAGTTGCTGCTGGTGAAGGACGGCAGGTCACAACCGTCGGGCTGCCATCGGAGCTTCTCGTACTCGAAGTCCGGGCGGTTCATCTCGCGGCAGGCCCACATTTGAGCTAAATAGGCTTTGCATTTCGTCCCGTCATACAGAGGTCGGCTCTCGTCTTTCACCCAATACCCTCGCGTGAAATCACAAACCGGTCCGCTAGACGCTGCAAACAAAGCATCTCCAGTGTCATGAACATTATCATCCGGAGTCCGGTCATCTCCGGTTTAAACGAAACGAGAACGCTATAAAATATGGGCAGACGGGAAAAGGACTTACTATTAGTCGTCTTGCTAGCAGCCTCTTTGGCGTCCTCCAAGATTTCATCAATCTTTGCGTCGGCTTCGACATCAGAGTCTAGCTTGGAACCTGAAGAACAAGATCGTCCAGAATCTGAGAAGGATCAATCTACAAGGAAGTATTGATCAATCGAGCTTCCGCAATTTTAGACGAGTCGACTCAAGATTCTACCAAAGATCGACCAACGTGGAAGCTGCTTTAGGTGAACAAAATGTGTACCCGAATCGGAAGGCGACGTTGCGTTCAAAATTTCATCTACGTTATCCAAATTAGTAGCTGTGCTGGTGGTGATGTTGATGGTCGAATCCTGATGTTCGCTGTCATCAAGTTCTGCTCGATGTATGCAGAATGTGTCCACAGACAAAGAAAACGTGTCTCGCGTTAAGTCAAACTGTACTCGTCTGAGTAGTCTCAGAATGAACGAATAATTCTACAAACAACAAGAATCTTTAAAAGCCTATCATTGGTCATCAACGATCTTTGAATGTTTTGCTCTTGAATATGGGACGCAGCGTACTTTCCGCCGAGTGCAATATCTGTATCAACAAGAAGTCGCCATGTCTCGGGCAGCTACTTTTGGCAGCCAAGAATGGGGACTAGTTGTAATTCAAATAACCAGCGACTATATGGATTCTGCATACTCTGCAGGAAGATGACGATGGTCCAATTTCACACGAGAATTTGCATCTAAAAAGTTGCAGAGTGGACTCGTAGAAAGAGGAAGGTGATTGCACCTCGAGTGGAAGACTCCTTCATTCTTAGTGTCTCTTGAGTCGGGAAGCCTGAAATATTTACTCTCTCCTTGCGGAGAGAAAGACGATCACTTGCATTGTCGTCTTTCTTGAGAGTGGAGGAAGGGTCATGTGCTGCCGGAACCTCGCCAGTAAGCGTTCGAGGGTCAGTTGATCGAGAATTACGATCAACGAAGTTGTCTGCGATGACAGTTTCCCAATCTTCCGACGGATCCGCGTGTTTCATCCGAGGAAGACTATTCAGTTTGATATCCACTGATATTTCCTCATTCAAAACCTTTTGAGTTGCTGTGTCGCGCGAGACGTCGAACCTGCTCGTTGATCTCCACTTCCTCTCCACCACTCTTTCCATTCCTGCATCAGATCCCACGCATCAGAAAATTTATCTTCTGAGCCACGTCGGAGCTGGCGGTCGATTATGGCAAAGACAGGCTCTTCGTATGAACGCACCTGACTCATCCTGCTCGTTGGAGGCCCAGATAGCCTTCGTCTGCTCTCGGTCGCCTGCCATAGACACACCCGACAAACTACGTCAGACCACAACACGGCCCACCATTGCTGCTTCAGACGTCCACCCGACTTGACGTGACAACGACCGACCGAACGACTGGCTCCGAACCTGCCAATGTGGAAAGACTCATCTCCGGATCAAGTGCTCACCAAAATACCAATTGAGAGTCGAGATCTTCGTTTCGGGCGTGAAGACGAGCAGCAGAGGCCGAGTGCCCTCCCAAGCAAGAAGAAACACCAGACTCATGACCATAAAAGACATGATGGTCACCAGCACCTGGTTCGTCTTCCATCCGCAAATACCAAATCCTCTACTCCTCGAGAGCTCCATTCTTCCCTCCTCTCCTGCGGCCCTTCCGAAATTCTCTCTACACCGAACTACAAAAGTACAAAACGCTAGAGCACTGCTCGACTCCTGCGTCGTCCTCGTCCTCGTCGGGGGGAGCACCCACTAAAATCCTACGAGCTTCGCTCTCAAATCGCTCCCTCCCACACACTCGCTTAGTGTGCGTTGGGCCAAAATTGCCGCCTTCGTGGCACCTACATTCTTCCACGGCAGCCTCGACCGCTCTCGCCTTCTCTAGCTTCAGCAGCGCCTCGGCTGCCACACCCGCGCGGTTCCTAGCACGCGCACCTCTCGTCCGCCCAGAGCAGCAACGCCATTCCTACTACAGCTACCGCAGGCCCAAGCGGAACGCGCAAGCTTTAAACCGGAGCGACGAGAGGAGGCCGAATCGCGGGGCAGAGACACGGGCGCAAGGCGAGGTTCAAGCGCATGAAGCTGCGGCTGCCGGGGCACTTCGCATCGTGAGCGCGGGCGGACCGAAAGACGTTCGATCGTCAGCAGCGTGGCTGACCTCCGCCTGCGATTCAACTGCCGGCGACGCAGGCGAGTTCGAAATGCGTCGCCCCGCGCTGCCTCCCCGAGCCCGAGCAGCAGCAGCAGCAGCTGGCGCCCGTATTGCTCACAGCGCCGAGTATCACGACTCCGCAGCAGGTCCGCGCGAATATCATGCCGCGCGCGCCTGCCCCGCTCTTCCCACAGCAACGCGCAGCCCCGCCTATGATTGCTGTCGGCCGCCCAGCCTCGCCGCACCCATTGGCCGCTCCCTCCCTGTCACGCCCGCATGAATCAAGCCCATGTACTGCTCCCCTCCCTCCCTCCCTCCCTCCGTCAGGGACAGTATCGCGAGCGCAAGCAGCAGGAGCAGTGGTCGTACGACGCTTTCACTGCTGCGGAAAGGGAAATGATTTCAATCTCATTCTCGCATGACCGCCACTCTCACAGTGCCCGCAAAAAGGAGCCAGGCGCAGTCGGAGGAGCAGCAGCAGCAGAAGCGACGAGCACGACGATCGTCCCACATCCACACACACTGCACACCATTCACTTCCGCGCTTCGTTCTTCGTTCGATCGACGGCTCGGCCTTTGCAAATCCCAGCAGGCGCAGCGGATTATATTACGATTCGTCGTCGGGTCGATGATGATGATGATGATGATTCGGTGGCGTTCTTTCTTTCTCGCTCGTCGTCAATGGCCCCGCGCCATTGCAATCAATGCGGTCGATGCCATGTCGTGTTATTATTATTTATACTCTCGAGTCTTGGTCCGCAAGAATTCTGTCTGTCTGTCTTTCTGTCTGTCTGGCCGTCCGTCCGCCCTTCGCTTCCCTCTTCACTGCAGCAGCTGCTGCTGCTTCTGCTGCTGCTGCCTGTGTCCCAGTCGAGCGAAGGCGAACGCTCCTCTCGTTCGTTGCCTAACTGCCGCGGCTCCCATGGCCTCCGGTCCGTTTGCGCAGTAGGACCGTTAACCGGCGTACGTGGGCGGCGTCGCGGGCGTACGCGGATACGGTCGTTGAACCGAGTTCGCTGTGCACGCAGTTAGAGAAGGCGGTACCTCGCATCACTGTAACTTCGCCCAAGGCTGCGGCTCACTCGGTTGGAGATCCTGCTTAGTTGGGTGCTTGGATATTTCTGATGTACGTTCACTCGGAAGGCCTTTGGTACTGTACTTTCTATGGCTGTACTTCATGAATTGTCGTGGTCTGCTTGTCCGTACTTGGTTGAGGACGTGGTGGAACTCGGCCCCGGATCGCCCGTGTGTCCTGAAGGCCCTCTTTGTAGGACTGCGAGATTCTTGAGTAGGGGAATGCGGAACCTCGGCAGTCGGGGACTGAGGAGACCCTCAGTTCCCGCTCCCCCCAACCCCAGGCTCGAACCACGAAGCTTGAACTCGTGCGAGCCTCCGAGCTGTCAGACGCGACGCGACGGCATGACGACGATAGAAGCAGCCAAACATCTCTCCTCCGTCAGTGACCAACTATAATTATTTAACTTACTTGATCTCTGACCTCCGTACTGGAGCCCGTATCCACAGTACTGAGCACAATCACAGTGGTCGCATTAATATGTTCCGGTAGATTTCATGTTGCAAATAATTTCTAATAGGACGTCCACTCTTAATTTAGGTTTCATTAATCCCCCGATCTATTGCAAAAAGTTAAAATTTATGTCTACTGGCTTTTTTGTGGCTGTATTTCCGGATCCGACTATTTATTCTTCTTGGAAACTCATTATCTGGGCATATATAAATAAGAGATTTAAAGAGAATGAGCTGAAATATCAAAGTGCATTTGAAAACCATTCAAAGTTATATATTTGACCAAATTTTTTAAATCCTTAACCATAATTTGTCATGGGCCAATTATGGTTAGGGATGTAGAGTACCTGCCTCACAGTGAAATGTCACTCGTGTACAGCAACAAGGCCGCCGAACCACGTGAGAGGAAATGAACTCGAGGATTCACTCGGTACGACGGGGCCGGCAGTACAGTTGTCTATGATGACGCGCCATGTGCCGACCATGTTGGAAACTCGATTGCGTATCTTAGCGCATGAACGGATTTAGTCCGTCGCCGTGATTAGTCTGACCCGTACCGAGGGAAGGACTGATCCTGGAATCGTGGGGTACCGGGCACTGATTATCTCTCCCGGAGGAAAACTCGAGATCGGACGTGCTCGCAAGCGACTGTTGATTCGATGGAGGTTGGGCGGAGAGGAGACCATTCTTATGTGAAAAATGTCTTCAGTGATGTTGATGAATTCGCCCCGCTTTGGCGCTAGACCTCATGATACAATACTGGTCGCCTGTCGATGGGGACGACTATTTTTGGCCCGAATGCAATCGTCTGCAAATCCTCGGCTTGCTCGGCCCTCACGTCGAGTCTTCCGCGAGAGTAGTAGTAGGGAATCACTCCAAGCATTAAGATAAATGGACACAACTGAGCGATGTGCAGAACAGATGTCTGTATACAAATTAGAACACCGGTTTACAGCTACACTTTCCAACTTTTTCGATGTGGAAGCATTTTTCGTTACAGAATGGCCAAAATCGGCAAAAAGTAGAGAAGTAAACGGTCGCCATCTGACAGCAGAGCCGTCAGTGAACCTGTTTTAAGCAGGTTTCCCTTTGATCTGAAGGCTTTCTGTGATCTGTGAATCAGTTAATTCTCACCAAATTGAATTCGTTTTCGCCAATTCAGGTAGCCGAGACAACCGGGTCAGAACCTCAGATTGTTTTTGGTTGGAACCCTCCGGAAGAACCTTCTTTTCCCCTTTCCTTGCTGATCCTTATCCTGGAGGTGTATCGTGTATGTGCCTTACAGAGCATTTCCAGGGCATGGGAGTTGACTTGGTATCATGTAAACGAGAGAGAAGCAAAGGGTTGGGGGCCAAATCAGGGCAGTGCCAGACAGGCAGTATCCAGTGCGCTTTTGGCGATCTCCTACATTCCTGACCGGCTCCTTCGCACGAACTGCGTTGACGTCACAATTCTAAAATCAGTAGTAACATTCTTGCATTCACGTCCATTTACTTTTTCAACTACGTTGCTTCATGCCACTCAAATGCATGCGACATGTAGTGGATTTCGCCTTGAGGAGTGAACGAACGAGATGATTTATGTACGTCCTGCCACAATAGTCAAAATTGTACAACCACAATTTATGACCAGAGTCATTATCTCCAAGGCCTTCAACTATAAGCCGAGCGAAATTGCCTCCGAAAATTCCATTCCCTCTATCCGCGTCCAAAGTGGATAAACAATGTACCGTACATCTTTGTTAAAAGCTCGAGAGTCATGTCACATTCGCCCTCTGACTATGTCAAAAATTGGCCTTTACAAGCACATCAAGAATTGGCTGGGCTGCCTAATGTCCGCCGCAAAGAGAATTTACATCCAGCAACAAAAACGAAGAATCAGCCCGACTCATGAAAAACGTGTTTGAATATAATGTTCAGGATGATACATCTACCTTCTATTCGTGCTAATCTTTCAACTTATTTCGTTGTGTCTAGCTAATTCGTTTGATAAGTGTTTTTCGTTACATCATCGCATGAGTAACCTTCAAGTGTATGAGTTTCAATATTTCCATCTTTTTGTATGTCCACCTTAAAATTGTATTTACATAAGATGTGTGCAAGTAGATAGACTTTGGGAGATAAGATGACGTCCACAATTCAAACAGTCAAGAAACAAGTAAATTTAAAACAATTAGGATGATCAATCGTATAATTTAGCTCTTTATTTTTTTCATTAAAAAATATAGGCTTCTAATTTTTTACTCAACCATATTAAGATCTTAAAATTCTTCATATGATTTTTTTACTATTGAAAAGATAAAATAATCTTGGAGCAAAGCTTTCGTTGGTTGGAAAAGAGCAACCATTTTGTTGTTGAAGTGATAGTTATTGATGAAGCATGTGAGATAATTCTAAAGAGTTGATTTCTTATATTCTTAGATGAGCAAAGAGTCAAATAGCAACATCTATGGGAATATGCAAAGAGAGTTCAATTCTTTATTACTTTATAATTAAAATTGTACAAAATTAGGGTCATAAACTTCAACATTTTTCTACAACATGTTCGAGAGTCTATCAAACTATATAGCAAGGATATGAAAAATTTGAACCACTAGTTTATATTAGAATTATATTTTTTTAGCATTAGCTAGTCCTAGGAATAAGATAATAATCAAATCAGGTGATTCTTCAGATGTTATTATGGTTTGTAGATAGTTTATTTTTGATAGGTTAGATATTTCAGGTTTTGCAATACATATTGTCCACTGTGAAAATACGGGTGTCGAGTTCTGCTTTCCAGTTTAGGTTCATCCTTGTAATACTTTATGGGCTTTTACGATACTTTTTGTTGTATATTTCTTCCCGTAGGATTCCAAGACAAGATATAGGTATTAGGTAACTGAAGACCGAGAATATAAGGGAAACGAATTGAGGTACTGAAATGTAAGAAGGGCGAAACGAAAACAAAAGAAGAGAAAAGTGCAGATTTTATTTTTAATAAAGTACATCCAAATCGTATCAAAAAATTTCTTTGACATCGATACGAAATTTTCAGATGGCAAGCTGATGACTGGTCAAGAAAGTTACACCGTCGAACTTTTGTTGCCACACGCACGAGTGGCAAGGCAGTCTCCTGAAATCTTGAAATCCCCTACTATCCCCCTTGATGTGCAAATCATGCACCGAGAATACTCATGAATATTGAAGCCTTTGGAGTTAGTGCCAAAAGTGTGGATATGTCGAGTCGGTTATGTGTCTTCAAGAGGAGGAGTGAAAAGGTGAGGCCCGGTCGCTCCTCCCCACAGGACCTCTGCGGTCTTACAACGCGGGATTTGTCCAGAATTGCCTGAACCTTCAGATTCGCCGATCGATCGATCATGCACACAAAGGCCATCGGGAAGCGCGGCCGGGTCGAACTGGGGGGACCATCAATGTGTTCGACCAGGCTCCAGCGGCGAAAGACTCGGCGAATAATTGACCACGGAGGCGACGGAGAGGGCAGGCTTTACCCAACCTCGTCGTGAGAACGAACCACGCAATTTGACTCTAGTCTCAACTGTGCGCGGACATGGAACGTGGTACATCCCTGGACTGTGCGAAATCATGCCATTTCCATACAGTAGACGGATTCTTGACGGTACTCTACTGGGAGGGCTACCACTCGCAGCATGGCGTCCTACCTCCACCGGTTACTGAGCCGGTTACCGAGCGGTCTATCGACAACCGTCTGTCGAGCCCGACCTCCACCTGTTCTTACCCGCTTTCCCTGACCTTCATTGCCATCACGGGACGCTCTACTATGTCCTTAACCCGAACCTTGTACTTTACCGGTACCGTACGGTGAATGCGGCCCGAACCGGTCTGACAGGTCTGAAGGACCTGGTACGGCTCACTTGTACCTGGGGACCTTCGTATTGATAACACAAAGTTCATTGCGCCAATTTACATTTGCCGCCTGATTTTAGAATCTCGTTCCGAAACTTGGAATGAAATGAAAGATTTAAAGAAACCAATTTTAAATAGGGGAGAACCTAAAGGACAAGACTGCCCAAGGAACTAAAATCAAAATTTATGAATAAATATTTGCAATTTCAAGATCAAACCACGATCTTGAAATAGAAATAAGATTGCGAATGAAATCTCCCAAGATGAACCAATGGCCTCATGCCATGTGTGTGTGTATGACACAACCGTCGCAGCCTTCGGAAAGTTCCATGTGAGATCGAGACTCCTTACCTCTTGTTCTCGTTGTAACTACATGTTACTAACGCACGGATGTAGCTAAAAGAATATGTTTTTCCTAGAGGATACAATAGATGATTAAATTGATATCATCTTCAAGACTGAAGCGAAAGGTCTCAAAAAATGAACAAAGCAATTATTATCCTATTTTAAGTCAACTACAAATAAAAGAAGATCATTGATGCAATTCTGAAACTGAAAATCACATTATGTGTAAATGTTTGGATATGCATGTAATTTAGACACATTCTAAACCCCCAATTTGTACCAATTTAGCACCCATTGAAAGAATCAGATCGATATCATGTTGTATGCTACGAGAAAAGTAGGAAAAAAAAGCTGTCAAGCTGTCAAGATATTCATACAGTCGAGATCTGTCCGAACTCGTGTCTGAGAAAAAGTGTTATTTTAACAAAGCTTGTGACTTAGGTGAGGACTTTGACTTCATCGTAATCAAAACCCCCAGAAGCACCTGAAGGTCGCGACAGGCAGGCATTCAAGACAAGGAGGAAAGTAAAGCCTAAGTGGAAAGTGGAGGTAGGCCGGCTGGCTCCGCTGCCTACTTCAGAAGCTCAGGAGCTGAGACAGACGGACTGGAGCCAGCTAACCGCACGAACAGAATAAACCGCACAGAGCCAATTTACAGGCCACGTCCAGGCACCACCAGATATTCCGCTTCGCCATACTCCGTCCACCGGGTGCTCGATGACACGCGGTCTCGGCTTCCAGTAAAGGGCTGACCGACTGACCGACTGGTACTGACAGCCACCGGACACCGAGGAGATCATAACGGACATTCAACTGCTTCCTCGCGGAAGGAGCTCGGACGGAGTTCGGTTAGGTCCAATTCACCGAATTCGGCCATCTGGCCTCTACCCGTCTCGGGTCCGGCTTCCAGGCAATGATGACGAGGATTGACTCCATGAGTTGGACGACATTCGAATGAGTGATGCAATTTTGAAAGTGGTCCCTCCTTCGGTCGAGCACTCTCTGAAAGGCCTCTCTGTGGATTGTGTGCTCTCGTCTACTCGTGGAAAATTCGATGCCTCGGAGTTCCCATTCTAGGGATGTCTTTCGGCTGGACGATTTATTGTCTAGTAGCGGTGCCCCGAATCACTATCACAAAAGGTCGGAGAAATTTGTGGACCGGGAGGAAGAGGGAAAAAGTACATGAAAAATGAGATCGAAAAGACATGACTGGTGGGTTTAGGTACGTCTTCTTTTTGTTGATGTGATTTTCGCTGACGTCACGCGTCGCTCGCATGATATTTCGTTCGGATAGACCATTGTCGTTTCTTTTTAGGACGATGTATCAAAGTTGCATCATTGCATGTTGGAACAAGATTGCAAGAAATGCCTTCTTACTCCACCCAAGTCTGCAAAGGGATTCTTTTTTCAAATTAGTTTTTTCAGTGTCCTGGAGAATTCAGCTCCAAGGTTGATAGGAAACGCTAGCATCTACCTACAGAAAGGGCCCTGCTATTCGGTGCTTGAATCCAGCATTTCCAAAGTTTGTGACATCTGGGCGAAAGCTTGCAGTATCTTGGAATGATAGGCAGCCCTCTTGCGTGGGTGTAGATCTAACCATGCAAAACGTTGCAGGTGAAGCTTTTGGAAGCGAAAAGCGCACATATAACGCAAGAGGTAGAGTCCACGCTGTATCTTGGATGAAAGGTACGAGAACTTACATACCAGGTCACATCAGTGTTGGCAAAGGCGGAAGACGAAGTGTTCCACTACGCACTTGCCCTAATAGTCTTTGTCTGTTGGTTGGAAACAATATATGACCGACAAGGAAACGGCAGCGGGGTAATTCCAGAAGTGTTTACTGGCAGGAATCACTAGATTTCATGTCTAAAATCATAAGGTATATATTTTGTTTCCTTTCCTTCCGTAAGTATGTTGCAGCAAGCCGTCGTGAGCCAGTATTATCAAACAAGTGGGTGGATGGAGTAGGCCAATGCATTGTGTACGCTCTCAGGAGAACGAAGGACATTAACTAATCAAATAGCAACGTTATCAGAAGACCCATCAAGTTGTTTGTGGATGAAACCAAAAGGGTTAGATGGGGCTGGACTTTCATTTAATCGCAATGGGAGATACGTTCTTTCCTTCTGTATCTGGTAACTCTTACTTTCTCAATGGCATGAAGATTCTCTTCGTGGAATGACGAGGAAGAGGAATAGCAACCACATCATGTGGGGAATCAATAACAATCCGGAGATAGAATAGACAATCATTGGACCATAAAGGAATGGGATGAAAAGATCGTTGTTTACGAAGAACCACGTTGTCACCCGCACCCATCCTTTCAGATCATGAATGAATAGATGGCGGAACTTTGAAAGAATGTGGAAGGTAGGGAGAGGACTTGGGTGAACAATAACAACTTTCATAGTTGAACTACATCATGAGCTAGATTTTGTCATTTACTACAAAGCTGTAGACGCCTATTCATCAATATCTGTTCTCTTCTTCTGGTACATGACCAACGACCCTTGTTTACGAGTAGTATTACACTCGATCACAGCCCGTAAAGCATTTGTGGTGCCCACATATAAAGTTGTTGCACCCGAAAGACTTGTAAATCGTTGAGATTTCACGTGCAACGTCACCGGTCCGATGTAAGGTGTGCCTAAAATACAGCCGGTATCCCTCGATAAAATTACTATAAATTTTGGTTTTTTGTAACATTCAGGTCTCTATGGAGTCCGTTAATGAAACACAGGTTTCGTTTCGATATAAGAGTGATCAGAGATTCAAATGTTTATAATTTATTTTCCTTTAAGTATTTTCATATCAAATTAGATTCATCTGCTATCCACTTTGCTTTTATTGGTCTATTGAATGTCATTTAAAACATTGGAATTTATAATAGATTTCAGAGCTTCATTGAACGAATGCCTATCTGTTCAAAAGAGTCCCGATGTGATTTTACTTTATCTTGTTTGTCCAATTTTACTCGACGTGTTCATATCTCGAAGATAAGTATATCTTAACTCTAAAAACTCTTTCATGGATTTCATTCCTCGAATACTATCTCTGCGTAAGGTCTAAGGTCTTAAATTTGGAAGGTTCTCGGACTCTTGTAAGAATTATGAGATCCAATAATTTTGCAAGTAGATCAATGAAGATCTTTGATGAATTTATTGCAAGTTCTGCAAGAGATTATTACTTCACCTTCTATATCTTTTATGTGTCATTGCCTTCAAGAAAGGATAGAAAAGCTCCTGAAGCAGCTTCATTCCCCACAAGGAAATTTCTCGGTATTTTTTTCATCACTTTATATTATGTATCATAGGGACACTTTTTCCTTTCCCTCTATATCAAAGAAGCAATATTTCAAGTGAATTATAAAAATCTAGCACCTTTAAGTTACCTCCCATGTCATCTTTCATGTTCGTAACTAAGAAAATATATAAATATAAATTAAGTACATATTCTAAAACTACATATTGACACCAAATATCCCGAGATTTTTAAAAAGCTGTTATGAAAAGCGGAGTATAAAAAATATAATTACACTGAATATACAAATCAGATTGCTGATGAACTTGACCAAGAAAAGAGATGATCCTGATCAATAGGTAAGGTCCACAAACAAAGTTACTATTTCTCTAACGAAAAAAAAACATTTGAAGTGACAATCAGTTGAGTAAACTGGACCATGATGTTTCCAGTCTAGTTTATCTTCATATGTATCTTCCTAAAGTTTTACATCAGGATACGAAGAGAAGGTTGCTGAGTCTGTTAAAAAGGGTTTTATTTCTTTCACAAAAAAAAAGTTACAAAATTATCTAATCTGACGAAAATCTAGTAGCTAACTTCCTTTCTCAAACTATTCCTAGCTTCACAAATTTCTCTGAAGGAGATGTGTTTTGTGCTCAACTTACGGAACTACTTTTGTTCTCCTCTTGTTGTTTTAAAATCTGGAAATTGTGGTAGTATGTAGTATCTTTTAGTGTCACGTGTCATCCACCCATCGACCTGTGGCTGAAGAAGACCAAGGTTCCTGCCATCTCAAGGCTGACTTACTTTGTGAGTGGTAGAAAGTCCTGGCCCCATGCTTCCTCATACCTGATTTCTCGCCCTTTTCGCTCCCCATCATGCTCTTATAAGAGCGAATTATGGTCTGTGGTAGGGAAGTAGCCGATGTGCGAAAGGAAGACCATGATGACGATACAGAATAACCAGCTAACGAACAAACAAGACGACAAGGTTTGCAAGACTTATAAAGTTTAGGGCAGGGTCGAGGGCAGGTGCCCTCGACCGTTTTAGATGTGCATCTTCAAACCTGATTCGTTTTCTTCAGCAACCGTGAGATTATACTCTGTGCATGTGAGTGCAATCTCCCTATCATTCGAGTTGGCGAGGTGACTCATTTTAATCCGGACCTTGTCTTCAGTGATACCATGTCGAAGACTTGCAATGTTACATGATTTTTATCTTATTTTGGATACAGTACGGTAGGTCTGGTTTGAGTGAATGATTTGAGTGATTTGATTCGAGAAGTATACTTCAGTGGGTATGCCAACTTCCCGATCGGACGTGGACCGTCCACTCACAAAAAGACTGCCCTCGGATTAGTTTGACCTTCATATGTCTCGAAGGTTCACTGCAGAACCTGCACCTTTACTGTTGGTTTTTGTTGGTGCTACCGGAAAATGATTGGATCCAAATGATTATTTGTTGCCAACAACTGACTCTAGAATATGTCAGTTCATCGAGTTTATCAGATACCTGAAGAGTCACATGGACCCAGGTTTGTTGGTTGAAAATTTAGTCAAATCTGCCTCTTCCGCCACTGCCGATCATTCAGAACAAAAAATTGTTCTGTCTGAAAGAAACAGATACTTATAATTTAAATATTCTATCATTAAGTATTATATATTGGGAATGTATTCCTTCTAACAGATTTAAACTCCTGTTTTCACAATAACCTACCTAAAAGCATGGAGTACCCGAAGAGTTCGTATTCCTGTGTGCTGTCTCTCCTCGGAAATTCCAAGTTGACGCCTGGTGAACAGACATGTCACCACCTGGGCAGAATGAGCAAGTTCAACTCCATTGTCCTCTTGTTAGACATGTTTTCGGGCTATACGGGAAGACGAAGACCTCGCGAGTGAGCACACGTAGTACGTCACTTCATTGCGAAGCCTCCAAAGGATGCTCACAAAATCAATTGTTTTTTATATGGGCAATGCGGGGGCGGGAATTTCTTCTGATTCTGGCATCTTAGGGGTGATGGTTAATGTTTAAAATCATTATCAAACTCATTGTTACTTACACCTGCTGCTGGCGTTCCTCATGCGTGGGTTGCATATATGAAAAGATTTTGGTTTGTTTCGATTGAGTGAAAGGAAGAATCAATCCTCTTCCATTTACAACTAAATTTGGGAAATTTATTCATGGTCTTGGCTGAACATACCACCATTTCAGATCAACGATGAAAACTGCTCATGGTCTTGGAGATTTCACCGTTGTTCCTCCATTGATCGATACAAAAGTTGTCAATAGTATTTCTAATTGCATGAAGGAAGGAACCAATGGCGATATTTGTGCATCGCTTTCCGACATTTCGATCCTTCTGTCAACATACTGAACCCTGTTTCCATTGATCTATACAACTCGGCTGAAGATATGGTGAGATGAGCTGTGAAGAGCACTTTCCCGAAAAAATGCTGACAACCAAAGCTAAAAGATGAAAGACCCATCATTTGACGCATCAAAAAAGTGTTCGTTCGTGCAGAATGCAAATGCACTCAACAAATTTAACGTTCACTTCATGCACACGTATATTGCATGCATGCTTGCTACTAATAGTTGGAACTCAGTACTCCGGTTGGAGCACAGCCTTCTCACACGGATTGTGACAGACAGAGGGCCGAGAGCGTTGAAAGAGTTTTGGAATGAAGTATGACTTTTGGCGGTTCTCCCGTTACGATCAGCAGTGTTTTCTGTAAAGTAGTAGAGAGCTTCACGATCTCTGCTTTTCCTTAACATCGTCTTCGAACCTGACGTCCAGGCTGAACTTAGAATATCAGGGCAGTGATGTTCTTGAGCGTTTGTTTGACTTCAGGAGACAGACAGTTTCACGTTGTTTGGGTTTGATGCAAACGACGAACACATGTTTGCTGTACCTCAGCTCCCTGATATCGTTGCGTGGTAAATTTGTCACGAATCTTGCGATTTGCGATGTGTATGGTTCGTGGGGGGTTACATTTTGTCCAAGTGAGTGTCAGTACAGTACTTTGCTGGGTCGAGTCCTGTACGAGATATGAAACCAACGACAGTGTTCTGTATATTCTTGGATTTGTGACTTAATTCCAACATTTCTACTAAAGTATTTTGTAATCTGGTGTACGTAGAGCATTCGCTTCCCACTGTTGATTCAGACTCTGACATGCAGCACAGCCATAGGAATTAAAAAACTGGAGACAGTTGGTGGAATCTTTAAGTAAGTTGTTTACTTCAGGATGTGATTTGGTCAAGGTTTGAAGCGATTCGAATTGAATCTCCAGTTTGTACACATGTGCCTTCTCTATTCCGCCGTGTCTTCCGGCCTTTCCTCACTTTTCACCTTGGAAGTGTAGTCATCACATCGTCCTGTCTCAATGAGTGTTTTGCACCCTTCCATCAGATCTGGCAGACTTTGGTCCCACTTCACAACGATGGTGGAGATAACAAAAAAGGAGAGAGTAACATAACATAAAGCTTGGATGAACCAAATGCGTAACATATGGTTATTCTCCAATACCCTGGTAATGGAAAATATGACATATATATTATCCAAATTATCCTTTCCTATATTTTATCTAACTTTCATAGAATATGAAAATTATCATTTTAGTAACACTAGTTGAGTGGTTTACGATAAAATCTAATGAAAGTATCTATCAATCAAAGTAAACCCTATATATAGTGTTCAATGTGAAAAACAAACAGCTCATGTCTTCTGTTCCGGGTAAAATATCTTTCATATATCATAGTGCAACTACAAAAAATTTCTTGTCTACACGTAATAGCTTACATGTGTAATATAGACTTGAGTACAATTATTGATATGGAAGAGATTCGCCTGACCAAAAATACTACAGATGCAAAAATTCTTCATGGATATAAAAGTTTGTGGCTTCACGATAACACATGTTTCATCATTTTTCCGATATCTAACAGTTTCACTTATTCGAAAATATAAGGCACACATGTTGCAATATTTTTTTTATGATTGTTGTGACAGTTGTCTGAAAACGCCACGTTCTTTATACTTTTAGGACCCTGAGTAGAGTGACTTCATAATTCGTAGTGTAATGCGAATGGTGATCGCATTCAGTGCACACATTCCTTTTACATTTGGCTGAAGCTGGTCATGTCTATCTCATCTGTAAAACAACGTTCTGACTGACGAGAATGCTGTCCTAAAACCAGTAAGATATACAGTGGCGCTGCGATTATGTTAAACTGCACGATCACACGTTGTCAATAAACTTTAAGTTCTTTTCTCCTTCTCTTTCTGTTTCAGTCGTTTATTCGCCGGTGGATAAACACGCAGCGAGATATACAAAGCTCTTTCAAGATTTTCTAGATCTACGAGATTCATGGTGTGAGATGAGGGTGTAAAAAACTGTGTACATGTCACCGAATATAACAACTAAGTCCTCTTATGAAGACAATTTCCGACAGTAGAATTTTTCATG